GACAGTTATATAATTGTTTTTCGTACGCATCATGGTCACTTCGAGTGGCTTGTCATGCCATTTGAGTTATCTAATGCTCTCTCAACATTTCAAAGTTTAGTGAATGCCATTTTTCAAGGAGTGTTGAGGAAATTTGTGCTTGTTTTTTTTATGATATATTAGTATATAGTGCTTCATGGAAGGATCATTTACTTCATTTAGAAGTGGTGTTACAGATTTTGAAACAACATCAACTCTATGTCAGGTTCTCTAAATGTTCTTTTGGAGTTACTACAATTGAATATCTTGGTCATACTTTGTCCGAATCAGGGGTGGCTATGGACACTCACAAACTGGAAGCACTGAAGAATTGGCCTAGGCCACTTAATCTCAAACAGTTGAATGGGTTCCTTGGTCTTACCGGTTATTATCGTAGATTTGTCAAAGGCTATGCCCAAATAGCAGCTCCCTTAACCGAGGCTTTGAAAAAAACGCTAGAGATGTATCTTCAATGCTTTGTTTTTTATAATCCAAAGATTTGGTACTCTGTGTTACCTTGTGCTCAATTTTGGTACAATTCTTCCCTACATCAAAGTATTCGAGTGTCCCCATTTAAAGCATTATATGGTCGTGAACCACCTGCAGTTGTGAGGTATGAGACCAATTCTACTGATCCTGTTTCAGTTCAGGAAACTCTGACTGTTCGTGATGTTTTACTTCAACAACTTAAATCCAATTTGTTGAAGGCTCAAAATTATATGAAGCAACAAGCAGACAAAAGAAGACGTGATGTGCACTTTTCTATGGGGGACTTAGTGTTGGTTAAACTCCAACCTTATAGGCAACATTCCGTTGCTTTACGCAAGAATCATAAACTCAGTATGCGTTACTTTGACCCATTTGAGGTGCTTGCCAAAATAGGAACTGTGGCTTACAAACTCAAGTTACCAGAGACTGCCAAGATTCATTAAGTATTCCATGTATCACTGTTGAAAGCAGTTATTACAATCCTTCCTAAACATATTTACCATTATCTTTAACAACCACAGAGTTTGGCCCCCTAGTTAATCCCTCTCAAGTTTTGGACTCTTGCATTGTGATACGTAATTTGCGCTCTGTCCCTCATGTTTTAATTCAATGGGATTCACTGGATTCTACTGCTGCAACGTGGGAAGATTGACATGAGTTTCAAGAGTCTTTTCCTCACTTGCACCTTGAGGACAATGTGACTTTCAATGGAAGGAGTATTGTAACATGTGAGCCAAATAGCAGTGCCCAAAATGTGACCTTAAATGAAAACGCTGTTATGGAAGCTGAAGGGAAGTTAGTTACATCAGAGAACTACGTGGGGTGCGATACGTGTATGCAGGGGCAAAGAAAAAACATGAGGCAAAAGAGAAAGAATGTTTTATTAAGAGACTATGTGTGAGAAAAGAATCGGGCATAAATCTCTTACTCTATCTTCTCTCTGATTTTTGTTTCTAAATAATTCTTCCTTTATCACAAATAGCCCATCAATCTTGTTGCATATGGATGCGGGAGTTATTTCAATAATTTTTTATATTTCATTTACATATATTTTTTATATAGTTTCTATGCTTATGTATACGAAGTTGAATTTCCAGGTAAAATTCATATAACAGTACACATATTTCTCTATTCCGTTCAAATATACAATCCTGTTAAAATCATTTTGGTAGCATTACAACTTAATTGTGGCCACATTAATAACACCAAGTATGAGTGCTTTGAAGAAAGAGATTGAAGTCAAGTTCTAAAATTTGAAGTGTTCTTTTTCCGAATAAAATTCTATCACCGTTTAAGATGGTGGAAGGACCAAGGGAGATTGTAAATGTGGACAACATAATTTTTACATAATACAATTTTGCAGCGATCGTCTTCACATTCCAAGAAAACACATTCAGTGAACTAAAAAGCAAGAAAACAACAATTATTTAACATATTGTGTTGTCATTGACATTTTGAAGATTTGCTTTTTTTTGTGTGAGATTTCTTTTCACTTTTTTTTTCATTACAATATTTATGATAAAGAGATAGTTGTTGCTTAGAATTCAAGCAAATAGATTTGTATTAAGAAAAGGAAATTTTAGTGTTAGTTTACTATTAGGTTTCACAGAATTCTTAAATTTTGAAGACTAATTATTATAACATGAAATTTTTAAGGTCAATGGTTTTTATGATAAATAGATTGCATGTGATGCTTATTTAGAAGTCAAACGGGTTTGTGTTCACTTTATTATGGATTTTGATCCAAGAAACTTAAAGAGTAAGATTAGCAGTACACACTATTTTAAAAAGTGTAAAGCTTTGTTCTTTAGTGAGTGATGAAACCACTTCAAAGGTGAGAAACAAAACTCTTATTTAGTAAGAAATATACAATATTTTTCCTTTAAATATTTATAAATCTCTTATGTTCATCATTTAAAAATCATAAGTAAAAAAATTCAATGATAAAACATGATTTTTATAATTATTCAATATTTTATCATATATCAAACTGTGTTGTGTTGATATAGACATTTCCTAACATGTATTATGTGGTTTTGATTAATATCTTTTATAATGAAAACATTATCATTAAAAACAGTTTTACATGCACATTATTTTAAAAAAATAACAATATTTTTTTTAATTGGTCCTTTTTAAAGTATATCGAACACTTCTGAAAGTTAACCAATGGATATTGGACGCTACTCTGAAAAGGTTTTGGTCAATCCATTTTAATTTTTTTATAATCCATCAAATTATAAATAATAATTTTAATAAAACATACTCTATTAATATCTATTATAAAGTCTACATTCTCTCCGCATTAGATTAAATCTTTAATTAATACATTATACTTTATTTATATTATTATTATTATTAGTATGTAGTATTTCAAGTACAGTTTAATTTTTTTGTATAAAAAAAAAGGCATTAAATCAGTTGTGGATTGTGATGATGAAATAACCTAAATAGTAAAAATGGGTTCAGTAGTTGGAACAGTGTTTGGAAGACCAATCATTAGTTTCTGTTTGGGGCACCACTATCATACCACTCACCGTCCCACATCAAGAACAAGAAAGTTGTTTTTTCCTTTTCCAAATTTATAATTTTGAATACGACAAAACCTAAGTTGTTAACCAGCGGAATATTACCTAACATTAAAGACACTTTTATATATAACCATTCTCTCACTTTTCTTTATATGATTTTTTACTTCTTCTATTTTCTGTCTTTTTTTTTTCTTTTTTTTTTCAATTCTAGCACATCTTAAAATAGGATTACATTTATTATTTTTTCTGTAAATATTGTAAATATTTGGATTATCATCTGGTTACATACTTCATTACCTTTTATATTAAAAGTCATCTTAAAATCACATAACTTTTTAATTAGTTCTTTACATATTTTTATTCGTCCAATACATAATTGTTAAAAATGTATTAATATACCCAATTTTGGTGTAAAAATATTTACACAATGTTATATTATCTATTAATCTTCAACTACAGTACAAGAAAATCTGGTCCCATGAAACCTGCTTGCTCCCATGTTCATAACACAACAACCATAATTGACAAGACAATTAAGTCAACAATTAACTATCATTTACCATTTTCCTTTTCACACTTATATATATACTATTCACATATATAAATAATAAAGCCCTAATTCAGAAGTCTTCTTTTATCAGATATCACATAAAGTATACTAAAATGATATATTTCATATATATTTAAAAAAAATAGATTTGTTTAAAATTAAAATTAATTTCGATAATAATTTTCGAAATACTAAAATAATCGACTGTCAAATTCATTCGCACCGGTCAAACAGCGTTTGTCGGTGAAATCCACCGCGTCACGTTTGGAAACAAATAATTCAAAGAAGTTTCAGTCCCGTTTCCGGGTCTGAATAATTACCTTTGACAAACAAAGAATAAATAATTCATTCAACCATAAATTATAATACATAGAATGAATAATATATTAATTAATCTTCTCAATAAATACTTTGAAAGTTATCACATTGAAAGTTATAACATTGAAATATTTTTTCTTACAATCCCTCATTTACAAATCACTGTAATGAATAAATTTAAAAGTTATCACATCTTTCTGTCAAAGCAATTAATAAACTTAGGCTCTTCAATTAAAAGGCATAACAACTTGTCTTTTAAAATAGTCAAATTCTTTTAAATTTTTCAAAAAATTAATAATTACTTAAAATAATTATTTTTAAAATAAATTTAAAAAGTTATTAAATTCAATTTTAAAAAAATTATTATAATCAATTTTAGATTTATTTATAGTTTAAAGGTTAAAATATTTTCAAATTATTTTTAAAATTATAAACAAACTAGTTCTTAAAATCTTTTTATTTATATTTAATTGTTTATTTTCTCTTTCCTATTTATAACTGAAATTAAAATAATATTTGTCACTAGAAATTAAATAAAAAAATCAGAACCTGATTAACCCTTTATTAATTAATATATAAAAAGATTCTATTAAAAATCAAATAGCATCATTAATTTTATAACAATTTTTTACATTGATATAAATAATACTATATATATATATATATATATATATTATCATGATATTATTATTATTATTTTAAATTAACAGATAGTGAAGAAAATATATTGATTAAATTGGTATTATATAATATCTCTCATTGATACTATTTTGTATTGAGATCTTTTTTATTAATTTATTTTATGAGTCTCATTTCTATGTCAAGAAATAATAAAACAAATAATTTTTTTGATAAATTTTAACCTAAAAAAAAGAAAGAAAGGATAGAATCAGTTAATAAAAAAAAAGGAAATAGAGGAGTGTTCAGAAATCGGGAAAAATGCATAAATCAATCAAAATTTTCTCAATTTTTATTGATCCACGTAATTTGTTGTTTAACTAGGTATATACATTTCACTACACTAGTGCCCATCATAATAGTAATAATAAAAAAGATATATGTAATGATAGATATAAGAAAGGTAAAAAAAAAAATCAGATAGAAGGTGTGTAATCCTCTTGATAAAACTGCGCAATTCCAGAAGCTGCCCATAGTCGCTGGTTATACTCCTCCAGCTTGTGGTAGGGCACGAACGGTGTCCTACACAAAGGACATGTCTTCTGATCGTGATCGATCCAACGGTCCACACACGCGCGGTGGAACATGTGCTTACAGTTCTCCATGCACCTGATTTCCTCCTCCGCGCAGAACTCGCTCAAACACACAGCGCATCCCGTCGGCGAGGGAGGACAATCGCCAGCGCCGGAGAGGTCGCAGAACGCCGCCACGGGAAGAAACTCGCGGATGAGGAGTGCGGAGAGCGTCGGGACGCGCGGCGACGGGGACTCCGGAGGCCAGGCGAGCGAGGCGGAGTCGGTGTCGAGGAGGTCGGAGAGGCGGAGGAGGCGGAAGAGCGCAGTGACGAGCGAGCGGAGCCACGCGAGGAGAGAGAGCACGTGGAGGAAGAGTTTCGGAACCAGCACCTCCGGATACCCAACCGGAAATCCCATCGGAGCGTGAGGGATACGCGCGCTTTATCTAGATAGAGAAAGTGATGAGTTTATTGGGTTTGAACAGAGAAAGTGGGAAGGATGTTGTGGAAATGCGAGTGAGTGAGTGAGGGGTGGGGAGATATATATTGGGGGTGTTGGGAAGTGATAGAATCACTGGCTGTGGCATAGGTGAAGAGGAAAGACCAATGCGAAATGGCGTAGGTTAAAGGCTGGTTGGTGGATGACGTGTACATGCGAATATGGAAAATCTAGTACGCTTCTTGTTTGGTAAATGAATCTATTCCGATACACTTTTTATTTGGATAAGCAATGTTATTTTAACTCCATTACTATGACACTTTTTTTTTTTTTTTAAGTAATTTTACGTTCAATGATGACCACAGTGATAAGAAAATCATTTTTCTTTTTTCAGTGAAATCTACATTAATGATATTTTTTAATTGAAATTCAATCAGAGTCTTTAGAATATATATTAATTAATATTAAACTATTTTGTATTCCAAACTAATTTGACGATGCTGGTATTCTGGAGTTAATTTCACCATATCCAAATCCTTTTACCAACATTTGTTACAAGAATGTAGTGTTGTTTAGATAATATGCGTTTGACATAAATAATAATTATTATCTTTTCACCCCAAAATCACACTTACATTTCGTTTTCAACAATCTAGATGAGGATGAATTGGTTTTTGTTTTATCTTAATAAATTAAAGTGTCTATGGCACAACTCTCACATGCTTCAATCGGCAACGGTAGAGTGTGGAACTATAAGCCAATTAATCATCGTCATCATCATCTTCTTCCCATTAAACAAAAACATATCTTCTGAACAATCATGGAATCATACCATACGTGTAAAGAGCACAGGAAGCATGACATGATTACGAAGAACATGAACAATCCATGTCTTGTGTCAAACATAAATATATTTAATTATTTGCTACATCACTTTCTTAAATATATGTATTATATTCGTATGCTGAGCCTTTAAATAAAAACAATACAGTTTAAGACAAACATGTTTTGTTATAGTTGGCTATGTATTTAGGGTTTTGTGGTTAAAGCCGCATAAACAATTAGATTTCGTTGTCTGAATTTCATGAAATTAAATAAAATAAGTTCAATAGTAGTAGGATATTATTAAATAACATATTTAAAAAAATCAGCGTAATCAACCAATATAAGATGAGTTGCGTCTGATTTGAATGTGAACACCGATTGGGTAAAATATAGGTCAAAACTGTTGAAAGCAAAGATTGCGTATAGACTCAAGAATCAACGACGCGTCAAACGTTCAAAGTTGGTCAAACAAGTTTACTAGGTGGGGTTTGGTTATAAACATGTGATGATGTGATCACTGTAACACGTTGATAACAAAAACGATATTCATATTCTCAGTTCATAGTGTTCTATCAATAAAAAATAAAATAAAAAAGTTTGTAGAGGGGAAACAAGAAAATTATAAAAATATTATTATATGAATATGGTTATATTATTAATTAATAGAAAATATTATTTTTGAAAGCCTTCTACCTGTCAATTCTTTACCTTGATTGGTGGTGGGGTTGACGTACGAAACTCATTATAAATGTCTTGAAATCTTGATAATAACAAATTAAAAGGATGAGTGAAGGAAAAGAAACTAGCATGGGACCAATGAATGGTGTAGAAAGCACAGAAAAAAAATGCACCTCCAATTTAAAGTTGAAGAAACTTTAGTAGTTTAAGTATCCATAATATATATATATATATATATATATATATATATATATATATATATATATTTAACAAAAAATTATTAACCATTTTTAGGAAGATCTTAATTTTTAATCACATTTTTTTTCATTTTAAAAATTTAAATATAGGACTTTATTTAAGAAAATTGAATACGATTTAATTCTCCTTCTAGAAGTTTTCAATTTTCTAGTCCCAAAATCGTACGTTACATGTGGCAGTGGAAAAATTATTAGAAAACTATGTTGGACCAGCCAAAGTTCGAAAGGACACTCCCACGTGTAATTAAGAACACCCCACTTGATTTATTTTTCTCCCTGTAGCTTCACATCAAAGGAAACTTTAGGATTTTTTTTATCATTAATTCAATTTTCAATGTTTTAAGCTCTATTATTTTAATTTTGAAAGTTATATATTTTATCAATTATTTATTAAACTGTTAATTCTATAATGACATAATTATGTCAGTTATTCTTTAGTCTTAAGTGAAATACATATTATATTTTAAACTATATATTTTATTACTAATTTTTTGTATTTTATTTTAATTTGTTGAACTTTAATTTACAAATTTTATCGTATGAATTTTAAAATTACGTATATTTTACTTTTATATCATTTAATATTAATTTATTTAAAATTTGATGACGAGTGATAAATAAAATAAAAAATATGTTATGCTAAATTGATTTAAAGTAATAAAGTAATACTTTATTTTTAAATATTCTATTATTTTAATATTGTATCCGGGTTCATGGCTGGTAGGGGTGAAATAATTATTATATCCATATAAAACTATATTTTAAGATAATAATAAATAAAAACAATGCAAATAATTAAGTAACCAGTTTTAGAGAAATAGCTTTTTAAAATTTAAAATTAAATTGTTTTATTCTAACTCATCTTATTTTACATATAAAAACATATTCACTTTTGAAAAAAAAAATGGAATTAACGATTGACTTGTTAGCTATTCTGGTTCGTTTTATTTATTTTTCCTTGAAATATAATATTTCATTTTTGTCTCCAAAATTTTGTTAACCAGTAGTTCATGTAAATTATTATTATTATTATTATTATTATTATTATTATTATTATTATTATTATTATTATTATTATTATTATTATTATTATTATTATTATTATTATTATCTATCTCTTGTCCTACGTAACGCTACTTCAATTTATTTTTAATTGTCAATTTTTTAAATCAGTAATGAAGATTTAATTCTTTTAAGAGAGTTTTCTACAAATAAGGTTTGTATTCATTTCAATATAAAATCCTTGCATTCAACTAAATTAGTTATTTATTCATATATATTTTTTCTTTATTATAGTGTCAAGTTCACTTTTTTTTTCAATCAAATTTGATCTAATAAAGAAACAATTTATCCAAATTTTGACTTTATAATAAATAATTTAATTTAACTTGAAATAAAGGATTGGTTATTGAAATCTCATCCATGATAATAAAATAATGAAAAGATTTAATAAATTAAAAAACTAGATGGAAAAATATTTAATAACGATAAATATATTACCCATACTATTTATTTAATTTTTCAACTAAACATTGTTACTTTTTTTTTTTTAAGGTTTGAAACTATTACTCAAATGTACACAGACAATAAATCTTCTACTTCTCACCTCTTAGACTATAAGATTGTTAATATATTATCATGTATAAATTTTATTGAGATGTAACATATTATTCAAAAGTTAAAAGAACTATATCAAAGTTTTCTTTATATCATTATCAACCACTATAGATACTATTGAAAATGTGTTTTGATTTTCATCTAGACAATGAAGTTGATGAAATCTCCTAATATTTTCTTATTAAAAATGTCTTGTTAACCTAGATGACAAGCTTGCAATATTTAAAAATTTTCATAATTAGGTATGAAAAGAAAAAAAAACTTATACGATATATAACATATAATAGATTTTGAACACCATCTATCAAATAAATATTACATATGTATTTAACAATTGTGTCGAAGATCACTTTTGAACAACTTATTATAACTATCTTAATAGATAATTATAAGATTTTTAGTCATAAAATGTCATGATAAGTGTTTATTTTTTTCTAAGAAAAATTAAAATAAACAAGGTCATGATCAGAGGTACAATGGGCCTTTACCAAAGGTTGATAAGGTTAAAAACTCATTTATATAGTGTGTTTGCTTTTAGATAATACGTTTAAGAAAAAAGATTTTCATTTATTTGAGAAAATTGATGTTAGTATGAATCTATTCATTTGGGTTGATTTGAACTCATGGATTTTAAGAAAACTTTCTCCTCTTATCTGATTGGAAATAATAAGAAGAAACAGTTGTCATATTTTGTACTCATAATTAATAATACCACTTATAATTATTATTATATACCATAATATTACTACACTGCAAATCAATCAATATATTAACATCAATAAGTTGAGATAAATATATAATAAATTATTTTATAATATTGTAAATAATAATAATAATAATAAAATATAGTAATTATTATTATTATTATATTAATAATTATTTTAATAATAATAATAATAATCATCATGTTAATAATTAACATAAAAATAATTTAAATAATTATAATATTTTAAATTATAATAATAATTTTTATTAAAGAAATAATTAGGTAATCTTTATTTTCTTTTATTAAAATATTTTTTAATCATTCATGTTAATTCAATCAATTACAAACTTTTTTTCTTGTTTCTCTATATTTTTTTACATTTTTTTCATAATTCATACCATCTTTCTTTCTCTTTAAATCTATCATGGTTCTCTCTCCTTCAAAGCTTAAACACTGTAAATAATATAAGAGTAAAGGATCGGACTATTTACACTTTTTGTTCCGTACTTGCACTACATACTCTTGACCTTGAGCATCAAAATATTAAACCCTTTATCGATTTTTAATGCTCAATTTTTTGTGTCTGATAAATACCATTAATAAAAAAATGTTCTAGACCTTTGTAAAAATACTATTAATTTTTTTAACTAATAGAATTATTATGATAGTGTTGCACAGCAAAAACCTTTCCTTAAAGACCATCACCATCATAAAGCATGAAAAGGAATGTTAAAATGTTAAAAGACATGTTACACCAACCTAACAAAAAACTTATTTCAAACAACATGAAATACCTAGCACCAAATAAAAATACCTCATTTTAGATAAACTTTCACCAATAAAATTTGTTCTACTTAATTTTTTTGTATATTTTATTTTAAATAAATTTGTAATTTCATTTTTTTAACCATTAATGTATTTTGTTTTTAAGATACTATTAATATTTGTCCTAAATCTAGTTATATCATCACTTGTATGCAAAGTCTTAATTTAAAGCACGTTATTGAAATGATCAAATATGTTTAATGAATGAATTGGTTAAGCATATATACGGCTCGAATAAGAACATATACTTTATTATCAAACAGTTCTTTTATTCATGGTTAGAAAACAATTAAGTAGGCCAGAACATACGAATCTGAAACTGTTTAATGTCTAAGACGATTTTAAACATGTTGTAGAAACAACATCGAGTTGTCATTTCATTAACCAAACTACAATTAAGTCCGTGAGTTTAAACGGTGATACACCAAAAAGTTTTTCTGTCAATTATCATGTCCGTGTTTCACTTAATGAAGTACATATGAAGAAAGACACGAGGGTTCAAACTTGAATCACACTCTTAACAATGGTTTATTTATGCAAAGAAAGCAACAAAAGGGGACATAATTTCCATGCAGATGTAGTTTCTGATTGTGAAACCTGCCCTACCTTGTGCACTGTCTCTGATCACACACATAGTGGTTTCAACATTATGTTGACCACACGAAGCGAAAGATATAGATAAAGGGGGATTAACCTAAGCATCACACACATGAGGGACCAAGTGAACAGGGTTCGACACATGTCCATTCAGAAGGACAAAGGGAATCAAAATTCAAAAGGCAGAAGAAAACTAACATGGACCATTGGTGATGATGCATGCGACTGAACCTGACCAACCAACATGCATAGCAACATGGGGGTTACTATGAGGGCATGATCACCCTGATGAAAATGATGAATGTGGCTTAATTATGTGTGCAGCACAATGCATGAATGGTGTGAGGTGATATCAAGTCACAGCTAGGGTTTGAGGTTTGATTGGAATGTAAAGTTTCGGCTGTGTCTGGCCATGCTAAGACACCAATGGCCCAATGCTTAGCATACCACATTACAAGGTTTAGCTTTTCTCATCAACTTTTTCAATATGGCCAAATTCCTTCATATGCTGACATGAAATTCAACTGAAATGTATTGGTTATGGGTGAGACATGATGTCAATCATATTTCCAAATTTACCTTAAAAAAGTAAGTCATAATTAATTTACATAAACTATATATAATAATATATATAATTAGTTAGGTGAGGCTGTTATCATTTTGTACGTCTCATAAGGAATAATAATTGAATATGAAGTTTGGTTAGCGGGTCCTATCATCATTTTTTTAACATTGTAACCATGGATTTGCTTGTAATTTTTCTTAGGTTACAATGTAACAACAATTTTGTACATGCAGTAATGGTTGTTTGGAGAGAAATAACTACTTATTTTAGTATAATTTTATGGAAAAGATTAAAAATAAATACTATTATATAGAACATTTTTATTTGCATCCTATTATTATTAAAAGTGTTATATCATCTATCTTATATATTTGTCAATTAATTTTATCTTGAAACCTTAATACTTACTGTTAATATCTAACCTTCAAAATCAAAATTAAAGTTTATATTTTAATAATTTTATTTGTATTTGAATTTCATTTAATAACTAATTTATAATTTATAATTAAACATAATTTTTTTTTATTGTAAGCAACTTTACTAATAAACAAATACAAAACTTAATTATTTCGAAGGAATCGTCTTACACATGTAGATTTACTTGAATAAATAAGTTAAAAATATTTATATCTTAAAAAAAGATATCCATATTATAAACATATTGTTTATATAATTGAGTGAGTTTTACTGCTAGGCTACAATTTTTGTCGAGATTTCAGGAAAAAGCAAAACATGTGCCGAAACATAGAGTGGAAGACAGAAGAAGAGTTGTTGAAGGTAAAGGTCATTTGAACAAAGACAAATATTAATTTTCTTTGTCATAGTATTTATTTGCTTATTGAGTTGGTTAGTTGTGTTAATTCATGACAAGAATGAAAGATGTTTAAGTGGGTGGTATTTATGGAGTGAAATGAATTGTGATGGTTGTGAGAAAGAAAAGAAAGTGATTCATTTAACAAGGGACTAAAGGTGAAGAAGAGAAGAAGATGGAAGGGACCCAGTACATGAAAGGAACACAAGAGTTGACACCCACGTGGGCTTGCTAATTCTTTGACTCTTGCTTTGGATCTTATCTCCTTCCTCTATCATCTCATCCTTTTCCAACTCAAAAATTAATAAAACTGAAAAAATGGATTCATATTTTCAGTCAAGCTGCTTTTAATAATTTAATCAATAATTTAACTATTAACTCTTATGATAAAAAAATAAAAAAATAAACATAAATTTAATTTTATTATCATGCAAATAATTTTTTGATAATTACTTTACTCGTCAAATTAGTCTTTATTAATTTTACTCGGCAAATTTGTTTAAACCAGCAAAACTGTCAAGTTTTTTAGGTGATATCTTAGGAGAAGAAAATATTAGAAGAGGCCGGCCCAGCCCACGACAAAGTTGCATAATGTTATGCAACAGCTCAGGGCAAGCCCAAGGCATCGTATAAATACTTCAGAACTAAAAGCTGAAATTGGGCCGAGCCCATTATCATAACACGGAAATATGCACATTCATCAACCCCAAGTCTGATAAACTAAAGGCTTATGTTATTCCATCCAATAATTGCTTTCTGCACCTCTTCATTATTATCTATAACCACTTGAAAAAGTTAGGAACAACGTTTGTATTTCCTGTGAACAAGTAAAGAGGTGCATTCTAATTTTTAAAGTTTGGGAAATAACATTTTAAAAAGGTTATTTGGTAATGACATATCTTATATCAGATATTATGTAATGAGTCATTCTTATTAATTTAATAAATTTGAATTATGTATTTTCAAAATTTATTCTACATTTCTTATTTAGAATCAAATTTTCTAGAAGAAATGTATAATCATAGGCGAAGATGATAAAATCCACAGAAATATAGTTTTTTATAAACAAAATATAAGCCGTTTTTTTTCCATTCATGTATAAGTAAGTAGTCATTTAATCATAAGTTATCTCTACAATGATATTTTTTTTTAAATTCATATAAAGTCACTTTAATTAGTTAATGGTGTGATTGAATTGTTCATTTAGTCTTACACTTAGAATTATTATTTTTTAATCTTTACATATACTATCTTTAGTTTCTTTAATTTTATGAAATTAAACAAAAAAAAAATCATAAAATTGCATTATTAAAAAATAAATGATTCGTGCGAAGACTACAAGTGGATAAATTTTAAGAATCATAATTAAAATATTTTTTTTTACAATTACAAAGGTTAAATGGTAAATTAAATAAAATTAATCATATATTAAAAGTGAATTAATATAAAATGTTGATTGCATGGCATATATATGTATAAATGGATATTATAGAGATGAATTGTTATTAATTTATTATTTATCACTATTACTATGTATACAATTTTTTTGTGATACAAAAGTATTCTGATTTAATTTGCAGTGTGTTGTTGGGGGTGGCCCTGAAGTTGAACTCGGTTGTTGTTCCCAATCGCAAATCCGAATCGTGGATCAAAGCTGAAACATTGGCGTCCTCTGGAAATGCTCGTGATCTCGGTTTTGCAGTCCCTCGTATCGCTCTGCTTATTATAGATCCGTGACAGATTGCAACAATCAGAAGCAAATCTGAGGAGAGAAGAAGAGGAAGAAGATGTATATGGCATATGGGTGGCCTCAGGTCATCCCTCTCGAGCAAGGACTGTGTCCATCTGCACAGAAGATTGTGTACCTCAAAGTCATCAATCGCTCGTTGCTCGTTGTCTCCCCCACTCACTTTGAACTTTGGAGCACTTCCCAGGTACCTGGATCCGTGTTTTACCGGCTGTGTGGTTGGCTTCTGTGTAAATTTTTTGTTTTTGGGTAAAAATTGATATGGGTTTTCCTGGAGTTGAGATTCTGCAATGTGGGTGGTTGAATTAATGTATGTCTGTTTTTGAATTAATGTGTGTGTGTGTGTTGTTTTTGGGTGTGGAGTGGTTTTCGTTGAGGTGAGTGTATTGGGAATTTGTGACTATACTTAATTGTGTTAATATGTTATCTAATTTTTTGGAAAAAGAAAGTGAACTGGGTTTTGATGGAGGTACATTTCTGAAATGTGGGTATTTGAAGTTGAGTATAATGGGTTTATTTGTATATTTTTCAAATTTTAGGATAAAAGATGAACTGGGTTTCTTCGGGCTGTGGGGATGATTTGCTGTAATGTGGTTATAAGAAGTTTGGGCTTAACAGTGGTTATGATTTTTTGTTGGTTCAGCATAGAGTGAGATTGGGAAAGTACAAGAGAAATTCAGATTCATTGCAGAGGGAAGGAGAAAACTTGGAGGCCGCGTGGAGCCCTGATGCCAAATTAATTGCTATTCTTGTAAGTTTGTCCGTCTTTTGATATATGATTGGATTTATGCAATGAATGACCAACTTTACATTCTTAGTAGATATCTTCTCTTGAAATAATATTCATGTTCCTTATAAATCTATATTTTCCATTTGCAGACATCTACATTCTTTCTTCACATTTTCAAGGTCCAGTTCTCAGAGAAAAGAATACACACTGGTGGGAAGCAACCCTCTGCTTTGTGCCTAGCTAGTATTTCTCTTCTGCTTACAGAGCAAGTTCCTTTTACAGTAAAGGATTTGTCTGTGTAGGTTTCCTGCTTGTTTTGATTTTATAATTCTCTATACGAAATAATTTAATGTGACACTATTAAACTACTACTGGTATGGATTGTGGAATATGAATTGAGTAGAATTTTGTCTCAGTAATTAAAAATTTATATATTGTCCATTTATGAAACCAGGAAAAAATATGCCTTCTTCTTTGTGATAATTGAAATTGAGTGTAATGTCTTACCGATAAATAGGAAATGCGGACAGAAGTAAAAAGTTTAGGTATTTGTAAATAAAAAGAAGTATTATATTAGCTCAGAAGAATATGCTACTTGTAAAATTCTGTATCCAATTGATTGTGTAACTGCCTATGCTTTACAAAGTAACAAGTGGTATCAACGGTATGCGTGGTTTATTAATTATTATGGCAATTGGATGTCTACATGATTTCTTTTTAACCCACTGGCCTTATCTCAATTCTAAACTAATGTTGTGTAATGTTATTCATATCACAGTCTAAATCTGAAGCCATTTGCAGTGTGATCTTGATACTTCTCTTTATACTACTGTTTTGCCAGGAGCAATATTGTTAGTGATAACAAGCATATGCTACTTGGACTTTCTGATGGAACTTTATACAGTATGTCTTGGAAAGGGGAGGTAATTTAAAGTACTCAACAAAAAATTTTGGACCTTGTATGCGCCGACGTATTGTGACAATATTCGGCAATGTATGCAACATTCTTTTTGTTTTGATGTTTAACAATATTACTATCATTTTATGATCTCCTGAACAGTTCTATGGGGCTTTTGAATTTGATCCACAACCCACTGCTAGCTTTGACAATTCTCAAATGCCACTTACTCTAGAGAATGGTCTTTCTCCTAAAAGACACCCGAAGGTTATGTCCAATCACATTATTCCTAGGAAGTCTGAAATCGGTCAACTGGAACTTTGCCTTCCATTGAGGTTGCTATTTGTCTTGTATTCTGATGGGCAACTTGTCTCATGTTCTGTGAGTAAAAAAGGCTTAAAGCAAGTTGACTGTATCAAAGCAGAAAAGAGGTTGTCTGGTGGTGATGCTGTTTGTGCCTCAGTAGCTCTAGAGCAGCAAATTCTTGCTGTTGGTACTAAAAGAGGAACAGTGGAGTTGTATGATCTGGCAGAATCAGTATCACTTATACGAGCAGTCTCTTTGTATGACTGGGGGTAAGTTTTATTTATGATACATGTAAGGAATCACCATCAGATTGAAAGCCTTCATGATCTACTTCTCCAAGCTTGATACACAAGTTCTCCTAAAGATTATTAATAAATACCTAGTTTAATGTTTTGTTTTATGTGTTCCTTGATACTAATGCTATCTCATTTTTAGTACTTTTTTATGTTTTGGAAGTGTATAATCACAGTTAACATATTGGGAAAGATCAGCACATCTTAAGTTATTCCAGAACCAGTCATCCAAATAAAATTACATTATCTTCTGTCTATTGAATGCCTGCAATTTCAGAGTGTTAATGACTATGTTGATAATTTTCTCTATCTTATCAGTATATTGGGCTTGTGTTGAATGCAATTTACAGATAAGGCCCCTCTACAATGAGTTTTTGTATAAATTGCACAAATAAGGATGTATCCACAGATGAATTTGAGTGTGGTAAGATCATGATACACTTTTGAAAAATCAAGGGTGGATACATACACTCTTGTGCTCTTTAGATACAAACTCACTCTAGAGGAGTATTTTCCTTTTTTTGACAGTTTGGTTTGATGGTTTGAAATATTATATTGCAGATATTCAATGGATGACACTGGTCCTGTTAGTTGCATTGCTTGGACACCTGATAATTCTGCTTTTGCAGTTGGGTGGAAGTTAAGAGGACTTACAGTTTGGTCTGTTTCTGGTTGTCGGTTGATGTCATCTGTCCGACAAATAGGCTTAAGTTCCATGTCTTCTCCAATTGCTAAGCCAAACCATGATTGTAAGTATGAACCACTGATGGGTGGTACCTCCCTGATGCAGTGGGATGAATATGGATATAGGCTTTATGCTATTGAGGAGGGGTCTTCGGAGAGAATTCTATCATTCTCATTTGGGAAATGCTGTCTTAGTAGAGGTGTTTCAGGCACTACATACATCCGGCAAGTGATCTATGGAGAAGACCGTTTACTGATTGTGCAGTCAGAAGAGACTGATGAACTTAAAATGCTACATCTTAAGCTTCCAGTTATGTATTGTATTGTCAAATTGAGATCATGTAATGTTCACTGTATGGATTTCCCTTCTAAAGTTTAAATTTTGTGCAGGTTTCTTATATTTCCCAAAACTGGCCTGTTCAACATGTGGCAGCTAGCCAAGATGGGATGTACCTAGCTATTGCTGGTCTTCATGGTTTGATATTGTATGATATACGATTGAAAAGATGGAGAGTATTTGGAGATGTTACTCAGGAGCAAAAGATTCAGTGTAAAGGTTTGTTATGGCTGGGGAAGATTGTTGTTGTCTGCAACTATGTTGATTCATCCAACACGTGAGATACTTTTACTACTTACATGTTTCATGCTGTTGATACTTACAAATTTTAGTGCTTGTCAAAAATATCTTTCACATAATCAAGTGGTGCTCAACAATGTACATGTATGAAAAAGCCTAACTCTAATAGATCCCCACACGCAAGAAAAATAATAGGTCTCATTTAAGTTATGTCTTTCTGCAGCATTATGCAACATCATTTTGTTCTAAATCCATTGTCTCTTATGTCTGCTCATTTTATCTGCAGGTATGAACTGCTCTTTTACCCAAGATATCACCTTGATCAAAGTTCATTACTCTGTCGAAAACCATTGCTTGCTAAACCAATGGTGATGGATGTGTACCATGATTATATGCTGCTTACTTATAGACCATTTGATGTCCACATATTCCATGTAAAATTATTTGGTGAATTAGCTCCCTCAGGAAATCCAGATTTACAGGTAAATGCATACTTTAAATAGTTTTTATACTTTTTTTGGCCTTGAATAAGAGTATCGCATTTTATGCTCCTTTTTTTTTTTTTTTTTTTTTCATTTTTCTTCTATAAATCTTGCATTGTTATACATTTTTAAGTGATAACATGACAAACAGCTTTCTGCAGTACGAGAACTTTCAATTATGACTGCCAAGAGCCATCCTGCTGCAATGCGATTCATTCCTGATCAACTCCCAAGAGAATCTATTTCAAACAATTACAGTTCAGTTTCATCAGAGTCATTAACAAGAGAGCCAGCAAGGTATATGTTTTTGTGAGCGGCCTTACTCACTTTCTCCACTTTGTTTTACCATTTCTCTAATTAAAATGTTTCAAAATACCACTATTCATGAATCAGAACGCATTACAATTAAGCATCCCATGTAATTACAGTCATAACAATTTAAACATATATGACCTCTTAATGAGTTTTTGGCTTGTTCAGTGGAAAGGTTTTCCTTCCTAAACTTTGTTGTTTTTGTGGCTATTCTCACAGCCAATAGTGCTATTTTTCTCTCACTAATAATTAATCTTGAAGAAATTTATTCTCCTTATTGTTTTTGTGCCAAGACAAATTTACTAGAAGAAGAATCCAATGCAGCAGAGGGGATTATATTTTCATATTACATTCCTCATGAAAGTGATTTTTGTTCTAGATGTTTGATATTGAGAGCAAATGGGGAACTTTCACTTCTTGATCTGGATGATGGACGGGAAAGAAATCTTACTGATTCGGTTGAACTATTTTGGGTCACCTGTGGCCAGTCTGAGGATAAAACAAATTTGATTGAGGAAGTTTCATGGTTAGATTATGGTCACCGGGGAATGCAGGTAAACTGTTAAGGTCTTTCTTACTGTTGAAAGTTCCACATCGTCTACCTCATGTCATTTGGTATGGTTTAAATACATGTTAGACTACTCCACATATTGCCAATTGGTTTTATGTTGGAACCTTAACATGGTATCAGAGCCAAAGCCTAACATCTTTCCGGTTATTGTCATGGGCCAAAAGTTGTCCTTTAGTTGGGTCAAAAGTACCCTTTGCCTGGTTCGGCAGGCTTCGTTGGAGGGGCTGTGTTGAAAGTTCCACATCGCCTACCTCATGTCATTTGGTATGGTTTAAATACATGTTAGGCTACTCCACATATTGCCAATTGGTTTTATGTTGGAACCTTAACACTTACAAACTGTATCCACATCCCTAAATTTTACTAGTTTTATGACTCTTGATTCACCCTCTAGTGTATTCCTTTTTACTTGTCTGATAGTTTTTTACATGGAAGTTTATTCTTGCAGGTTTGGTATCCATCTCCAGGTGCTAATTCTTTTAAGCAGGAAGATTTCTTACAGGTGTGCATACAGATTAATGGGAAAGGATGTTCGTAGTATTCATTCTTTCAGACCTTTTTATTTATATTATAATTATAAATAAATCACATGCAACTGAAGGTCCATGTAGTTAGTGTATGTCATTGACTTCATATTCTATATGATACTCTGGTTTCATCCTAAGTGAAGAACTAGGCATAGCATATCTGACTTGTTATCTTCTTTTCTCTGTTCCTTTAATGAGTAATTTATGCATCATCTCTGGTAGATATATAGATATTGTAAAGAAAAACAATATTTAGTCTAATTGAAGCAAACAAATTCAGTCATTTCTTCATTCTGAAATCAGTTCATTTACTGGTATTTGCCTTAATTTTTAGTTGGACCCAGAGCTGGAGTTTGATCGTGAAGTTTACCCTTTGGGACTTCTTCCAAATGCTGGTGTAGTTGTTGGTGTTTCCCAGAGAATGTCATTTTCAGCAAGTGCTGAATTTCCATGTTTTGAACCGTCTCCTCAAGCACAAACAATACTGCACTGCCTACTCCGCCATCTTCTTCAGGTACCACATTGAGTTAAATTGAAGATTGTTTGATTTTCTTGAGCTCTTGATTCATATTTTATATTTGGGATTTCTTGGTCTCTAGGTTGCTTTTTTCATGAAATTCTTAAAAGTAATTTTTATGGTATAGTATGCTTCTATGTGGACCAATAAATCATTCTTGTAATCAAAATCAGCATTTTACGTTAAATCTGGAGGTTGGTAAAAAACATAAATTGAATATGTATATATATATATATATATATATATATATATATATATATATATATATATATATATATATATATATATATATATATATATAGTAAATATAATCCATATTTCATATTCATAAGTCCTAGCCACAAAGTAGTAAAAATCTTAACAACTCAAAAACACAAATACACTGCTCATCAAGTTTTGGACAAGTTACATCTTATGGGCCATAAAACTTAAACAGCAAAAGACTAGAACTTTCAACAGAAATGGTGAGTTGCAGGTTTGCTCAGATGAAAGAAGAACAATGGTAGTTAGGGGTCAGGTTTTGATTTAGCAGCAGAGCAGCAGCTTTGATGTTACAGTTTTCAGTCATGTGGGGATGGTGAAGAAGCTTCAAACAGTGTTGAACCAAATATGAGACCACTAACTTTAAAACTAGGTCAACAGATTAACATGGGTCAAAAACCTTTGAAATGGATCAGAATCATTCTTGAAATCGGAAAAATCACATGATTTTCCCACTATAATTGGGACCCACGGATGTATAATAAATTAAAAGAAATGGAGTTAAAGGTGTATTTTTACCAGGTATCTTATGAACAGTATAATGAACATAGCAGGTATCTAAGAAAGGAAAAGACAAAATTACAATATTTCGTTATTGATGTTGATCTTTGAAGAATTTGATAGATTAGGAATTTTTAACTTTCAGGCACAATATATGAAGTAGGAATTGATCTATTTGTCAAAGTCTTTACTCTTTCTTTTTTGTTTTTTTCCATAATTTGTGATCCATTGCTTTGAAACATTCAAAAATTTTGATAAGAAAATTATTCAAAACTATCAGAGAGGATGTGTGAATTGTCAAACAGTTTTTGTCCCGTTTTTGTGCCAGATGGAGCATATATGTCTTCTATATTTATGATAAGGATTGCTTATTCTCTGAATTTCTACTCTTCTTCTTTCTCACCACTATTGTATAAGATACAATAGATTAAACAATAAGATAGAAGAACTGTCACATAGTCAAAGAGTTTTGGGAGCCTGCAATTGTCTGGTTAAAGTTGGTGGTTCATTTTGTTGCTTTTATTTTTTATGAATTTGTTTTTTAGAGGAATTTTCAATCTTGTTCTTTTAACTTATCATTTCTCTCTTTAATGAACTTTTGTTCTATAGAGAAAATGAATATTTGTCTGATTCTTCTCTGTTCATTTGTGGTTCTGCTAGAGGGACAAAATTGAGGAAGCCTTAAGGCTGGCCGAGCTATCAGCTGAGAAGCCTCATTTTTCACATTGTCTAGAGTGGCTACTTTTTACAGTGTTTGAAGCAGATATATCCAGGTACTTCAATTTGGAAATACGAGTACTCTGAAAATGGGACCGAATAAATTGACACTTCACTATAATTGCACTTTTAAAACACTTTTCAAGAAGTAAATTTCATCAATGCAATTGTTGAATTATGGGATATTATTCTCATGATCATGTAATCAAATATTAGATATTTAGGCATTGTAGACGTGTACTGTAATCTTATAGTAGCTATTTAATTATATTTTAGATTGGATACTGTATATAAACTATCAATTAGTTTTTAAATTATATGAAATTTTGTAGCTATCTAATTATATTTTAGAACTTTAAATATAACCATTGGATTGATGAAGTTTACATTTTTGTTAATAATTCATCCTGTGTGCTTGTTGCTGATTTGGTGCCCTTGAGGTGCCATCCTCCTTTAACTGCCTTCGTAAAAACAGAGTTTAATTCACTGCTTGGATCATTATTTTAGTTTTCTTCACACTGAAAAGTTGTCTAAAAGTTATAAACCCAAACACTTTGAATGTTACCTGCTGAGCCCTCATTTATAAGATCAGTAGGACCTAATCTCATAATCCGATCATTCCTGTAATCTGGTGATATTACTTTGATGCGGAGGAAGTTTGCTAGTTGTTTGTAGTTTCTCAGCATTTTCCATTGCTTGAGCATGGATGTGGTGCGTTTTTGAAGTAAAACTTAGTTGACATGTGATTTTTGTGTTGGCTGTTTAATTATCATGGCAATTATTCCAGGCCAAATGTGAACAAGAACCCGATCTCAGTTGTTAGACATGCTAAAAGCTCTCTTTTAGAGAAGACCTGTGACCTGATCAGGAATTTTCCTGAATACCTTGATGTTGTTGTAAGTGTTGCCAGAAAAACTGATGGCCGTCATTGGGCTGATTTGTTTGCTGCTGCTGGAAGATCAACAGAGTATGTCCTTCAAGCATCTATGTTTATCATTTTAATTTTAACTGTGATTAGTATGTGAAATTTTGTTAATGTTTTTGCAATGCATATTTTAGATGTCTAATTCTTTTGGGGGTTTCTGTGTAGATTGTTTGAGGAATGCTTTCAACGTAGATGGTATCGCACTGCAGCATGCTATATACTCGTAAGACTCACTTGCCTTTCTCAATAGGCCCCCTTATCTGTAGGAATGTTAGTAACTTATTATTCTGACATTTCTTGCTTTCTTGTATATATTTTTTTCTTTTATCTGCCTTGTTCTGTGAATAAGAATTTTTTTTATTCAATTTTAAATCATAATTAGTAGGTTATTCATGCCAAGGTTTCTCCTTTCTAATAGAGTTAGTTTATGAATTGAGTGTTGCATTAAGGATGCCGATTATAACATCTATTTTTCTCACTGGTTATTTCTCTCACATGGGGCACTCTGTTTTTTTTTTCTGGTTTGATTGTAGTATTAAATATACTTTAACTTGCTTAATTAAATTTAATAAATTTCTTATGAATATAATAGGTCATTGCCAAACTGGAAGGTCCTGCTGTCAGTCAATACTGTGCTTTACGGTTGTTACAGGTTTGGGTTTAGTTTTTTTTTTATTTGTTAGATTTAATGAACTTTAGTTACATCAATAATGTGATTATCAAACTTTCACAGGCAACACTTGATGAATCATTGTATGAGCTTGCTGGGGAGCTGGTATTATTTTGAAATCCTATTGGATTATTCATTTTAGCTGGTCAAGTAATATATCTTGTACAAGTTCCGTTTTGTTGACTATTTTGTTTTGGGATCAAAGGTGCGGTTCTTGCTAAGATCTGGTAGGGAGTATGACCAAGCATCAACCGATTCAGATAGACTGTCTCCAAGGATTTTAGGCTATTTTCTTTTTCGTTCTAGTGAGAGGAAGCAATCGTTAGACAGAAGGTTCATGTAAACTTGAGTCGGTTATATTGTTTTTTGGTTGCTCTAGTATCAAAGTTGCCAACCATACTGACTACTAATTATCTTTGGACAGCTCCTCATTTAAAGAACAAAGTGCTCATGTTACCTCTGTTAAGAATATTTTAGAAAATCATGCTAGTTACTTGATGTCTGGGAAAGAGCTCTCAAAGCTTGTTGCATTTGTAAAAGGCACTCAGTTTGATTTAGTGGTAAGATCTTGCTGATTGACTTGTTCTAATCCGTGTGTGATGACTTTCTTTCAAGTTTTAAGTGTTTAAATTTTTCTATGGCACCAATTGTAGGAGTATCTACAACGCGAAAGATATGGGAGTGCTCGGTTGGAGAATTTTGCTTCTGGGCTTGAGCTAATAAGCCAAAAGGTCTATAGATTTTAACATTTCCATTTCATTGGTTTTACATCTCCTTTTCCCTTTTCAACCTCTTTCTACAGTTGTTAGAGGATGCATGAAATCTTTGATACATAGTGTGCCTTTCATCTTGTTTGATTTTCTCAAGCCTTAGTTTTATACTCTGATTTTACTGCAAACTGTTTATGTAGCCTACTAGATAGGTTTGTTATCCTTTAGTTAATAAAATTGATCAATTATGCTCTAGAAGGTCTAATGATATTGGAGGATTCTTTATCCTCCTGTTATTTTATTTTCTCTCTTTAGTAAAGTTTTCTTTTTTTATGGAAAACTTTACGATATCAAAATAATCATGTATCATGATTAAGGTTTAAAAGGGGTAACTAATTACTGAAGCCATTTTTGACTATGCTATAAAGTATTTGATCATTTGGCTTGAGCTTGTCTAGATCTGTTCTGATATTTATTTTAGCTTTGTTTCTTTTTGTTGCATAATTAAACATTATTTTTGTTATCAGCTTCAAATGGAAACATTACAGAGCCGCTTGGATGCTGATTTTCTCCTGGCTCATATGTGCTCTGTGAAGTTTAAGGAATGGATAGTTGTCCTGGCTACTCTCTTAAGACGTTCTGAGGTATGTTTGACTTCTGTATGTACAGGACAGCAAGATCTGAAATTATGCTGACATGATTTCATCAAAACTAATGTTGAAGTTATAAGGAAAAAGAAAAGGAGAAGAGATAGAGATTTGGCAAGTCTAATAGAATGGGTTTTGAACTGATGAGCATAATTCGTAGTAATTGGGATGAGAATTAATATCAACCACAAATTTTACCTTGGAACTTGTTTGGTGGGAGGAATTATTTCTGAATGTAAGACAAACAGGCCCTTAAATCTACTTTCTTTAATGGCCGGTGCCTTTATGGCTCAGCTTCATGCGTGTATGAATCTGCCAAGATTTGTTTTCCATCTTTTCTCGTGTTGAAATACCTCTCGATTGTGAGGTGCGTTGAAATCTTACATCGAGGAAAAATATGATAAACTTATAATATATAATTAAAGTGTAAATCTGATCTTACAAATTAGTTTTATAAAGTTGAGTTAGACATATTTTCATTTCTAATATGGTATCAACCCTAGTGATGTTGGGATTATTATACCATTTGTTAACGGGTGTTGGAATGTACCACCTGTTATCGGAATGTTATTGAACCACTCATACCCTGCATGAACCCTTTGTTTTACATCTCTATAGTTGTATATGATGAATCCAGAATACTTTGGCTGTGTGACATGTGTAAAGCATGTTATCCAAGTTAGTGTTGCTATTTTTTCCCTTCCTATCACTTTCTGTAGACATAATTGTAGTGTGAGAAGCTCCCACATTATGACATGCTTTAGAAGTTAATGGGTAAACCAAACAGAAAACCGTAATCTTTAGTTTATATATATGTCCTTAGTAATAACTACTGCATGGACTTGTTACTCATTTAGTTATTTGACATGATGTAAAAGATAGTGGATTATTGTTTCATGTAAGAGAGATGAGGTGAAAGGGAATGTGCATACGCAATTTTTGGGTAACTGCCTACAGGTACAAGTTGTCCATATTTTTGTGTTGTCTTGCTGGGAAGATATAGTAATATATAAGGGAGATATTTTACCCAATTTTGTTACCTGTGGATCTTTTGCCATTTTAGAAAGGGTTCACTTTTGTTGACCAGTGTCTTCTTTTGGGATTTTTTAGGTTCTTTTTGACTTATTCCGTCATGACGTTCGGTTGTGGAAAGCGTACAGCACCACTCTGGAGGTATATCTATTTGTTGTAGGTTATTGTCTTGGCATCATGACATACTTGAATGAACTAAATATGATGTTGCTATCTGTTTTCTTTCCACGACAGTCACATCCAGCATTTACAGAATATCAAGATTTGCTGACAGACCTGGAAGAGAGACTTTCATCAGTTGCAAATGTGTAAGGAAAATGAAAGTGAATATTGATTTCATATCAGGACCGTGGTATACATTTGTTTCCTGCCGAAAGAAATCTGATTGGGTGGTTTGTCCTTGGCCACATGTCAATCTCATTGATCATGTCACACGTAGGGACTATGCATCCTTTCCCTTGGAGTTGATTGTGGGGACCAGAATACCAAGTTATATTCACTGGTTTACCATGTTCTTAGTAACAAATTATTTTATGATGTTAATCCAATGAATCCAGAATAGTACATGTAGATAGAGGTTAGAAACATATGTAGGGAGGCTTGTGCATGTATGAGGATTTCATTATTCTTTTCACTTTTGATCACATTTTGTAACATGTGTTTTTGTAAAAGCATAAACAGATCCAGCTGTATATATTAGCTATATGCTGTTGATCAGCCTAACATTCAAAGTAGAAATTATGCACTTGATTTTCTTCCATAATTGAGCTTATCATCGAATTGTTTACTTATATTTTCTGTTTCATGGCTCTAGACTAAAGAGGTGCTCATACATTTTGAGTTGGTTTTATTTTATACATTGCTTTATTTCATATAAACATATCTTATTGATATATACACTCTTGCTTTAACATGTCGTGGAGTGTAATCAACAGAACATGACCGTGTAAAAACAACAAATGCATATGCTGTTTAAAGTTGCTAAAGTATTTTTACGAATTTCAATATAAAAATTAATGGTTGCAAAAACACCATCATCATTTCCCGGCACTCTTAAAGACCAAATATAGAAACTTAATTTCTTGTAAAACCAATGCCGTTATCAATTGTTGTTAAAGAGGAACTGAAGATGAATTTTCGTATCGATTACCAATGATGCTAAATTTGAAGATGAATTGTTTCTACATAAAACCTTTTTTTAATGTTCCAGCAGGCTATGTTCCATAAAATCATTTTCGATCCAGAATAAAGAATTTCATATTTTTTTCCTTTTTTTTTCTTTAAATGTAATAAGTTTCAAAACTGTTACAAAATGTTATATTTTAATAGGCATATAATTTATTTATATTATATAAAATTTGAAGTATAACCTGTAGCATTCACATTTTAGCCTTTTACCATGTGTTGTTGGCATCTTCTTGGCTCAATTTTAAAGAATTTTCTCTTAATTTATCGCCTTATTTTTGCTCTTTATTGTTTGTCTTTAGTATAGGAAATCTTTTAGGAGCTGATTGATTTCATAATTCATTTTTTTTTTCAATATTAATATTTTGTTTTCTTTTTCATTTTCTGTTTTATAAATCGGAAATGATTTAATCATTATTAATAATTAATTTACATTTTTCATGATGAATTCTAGATTTGTGAAGAACAAATATATTGGTGAAAATACCTTTGTGTTACAATATTGTATTATGGTAAAATCATATATAGTGGAACAAGTAATGACTTTTTTTCTGTCCTGTAACAGGATAATGTGACCTCAATTTTAATCTAGAAAATCTTACTTTTGATTCTTGAAAACATCTTTTAATAAATATTGTTGATAAAGAGTTTCTTTTACCCACTCTCTTCTATTTAGAAAATTACAAAAATGGTATCTTTCTCTTCCAAATTGTGCAAGATGGTCACACATACTGAGAAATCCAAAGTCAAACGACAAAAAAAAAATCTATAGAATGAGAATTGCACCTATCGAATAACTCAAAAAAGTATTGCAAAATTAAGTGAATATTATTATTTCTTAGAAGCAATCATTAAAACCTAATATTTCTGCGTAGCTATTCTACGTTAGAATTAATGCAACAAAAGTGCTGAACATTAGTTAGCTGAGACCACTAGCTTCTAGTAGCTAGATGCAGAGGTTGAATATCCACATTTTACCACTTTTACAGAAGTCCAGTAAAATTAATTACCAGTTAAAGCTATAGGACTCAAAATGCAGATTTTCAGATGAGCAAATGGCTGCAACCTCCTGCCTCATCCCCTTGGGTCCAGAAACAAAAACTCCTACTCTTGACCCTTCAAGTTCCCTTAGCATTCCTGTAAAATGAGAAAAAGAAACAAGTATTGAAGTTCATTTCATTGATCAATTCTAGACCATGGTTAAAGTACGGGTAAAATGTGTTTTAGGTCATTCGGTCAAATTTGGTTTTACTTCTTGCATTTGTTCTCAATCAAGTAAAAAAGAAGTATAGGATCATGGGTAAAATCCACTATATTTTAGAAATAGGAAGTTAAAATCTTCCGTCTTTAAAATATGGGAGTGAAATCTATTTCCGACTAAATTTTAGGAGTTCTAAAACGCATTTACCCTTGAAGTAATTGGTAAATGACTTACTTCTCAGGTCGGGTCTTTCACCAAAATGCACTTTTGTAGCTTGCACAAGGGATTGGTATTGTTGGCTTTCCAGTTCTTTACTTCCTTCATCAATATTCAACTTTGGGGGTTCTGCTGATGATGACCCTTCTAAGTTCTGAATCTGCTTTGCTTCTTTATCATTGTGTTTCTTGTTCCAAAGAACAGCTCCACTAGCAGCCATTGCTATGGACACACATATTGCTAACATCATGAGGAATGACGCCAAAGGTTGTGAAAATATTTTATTCGAACTATGGTCCACAGGTAAAATGATGTATCGTGTAATGATCCCAATTAGGATAAGGAAAATAATGAACGAGGATGAGATTATAGCACAAAGCCAAAGCCAACTGTTAGGACCTAAAATGGCAGATATGGGTGCATCTGTTGCCTTGGGCTTGAACCATATATGTTGAAGGTGAATTTGGCTTTCCAGTATATGATCCTCCTTTCTTGTGATGTATGCCTCAATTTGTAGTTGCATGTTGGAAATATCAAAGGGGTTGCCAGAATTGGGAAGGATCAGATCCAGCATTGATAGATAGGAAGAGTTCCTGAATGCACAAATTAGGATAACTTTTGGGGTTCTATATCTGAATGTTGTGCTCAAATACAAAAGCTCCCGGATGATGGAGATATAGGGGGTGATTCCACTCCCTCCACTAACCATCACAAGAGTGTCATACCTAGTAATTAATTAAAAAACTTGAGCGTTATTATGAGGAAATCAAAACATTTTCTGCTACGAAGCTACCACTGAGGGGTCTAAATTGCATGTAAAATTTGTTTTTTGATCATTAGATGCAGACCTTAGATAATTGGTGGATGCAGGACCATATGGACCTTCAACAGAGACACTGAGATGATCAATTGCGGAAGGGATTGAAATCATCTGGTAGAGCTTCCTGGACCACGTTCCTTCACCTTTAATTACTACACTCAGCACTTCTGGCTCCAAATTACTATGAGAAGTAATGGTAAATGGATGCCACTGTAGCTTGGAGATACTTGGAACATTTATGAACAGAATACTTGTGGGACTATAAGTCAAACCTGTCAAAATCCAAAGATCTATCGTGAATAATAAAGCACTTCTCAAGAGGTATATGTAGAAGACTAAAATACCCTTTTATCTATAGTCTTGTTCTGTGGTTTCAATTTGGACTAAACTAAACTAAACTTTTTATCAGTTTTTTATTTCAAAGAAGGTCGATTCTGATTCATAAAACATCTGAAACCAAACAATAAAACAAATTGAAAAACAAAAATATTTAACTCCTTCGGATCTTAATAAAATACACTTCTAACATAATTACACAAATTAACACAAACTAATAATAAACACAAATTAACAAAAACTAATAAAGATATATAGTTAATTAAATTATTTTTATTGAATTTTAAAAGCAATGCTAGTAAAATATTAAATTTATTTCCATTATTACGAACTTTTAAATTTGTTATTATTCATTAATAAAAATACATACATTCGTAATATCTAATAAAAAGTTTTAATACATGGTAAAAACTATAAAAATATTCAAAGACAAAGAAGTGAGTGAGTAGTGTATGATACATGGTGACATAGAATGGTTGTGTTAAAATGTTACCGTGGCTCTTGGAGAAGTTGAGTTGTACAGTTTGACATGGCAAAACACAAGCAGAAAGCAAACGAACTTGGTATCTTGATTGCAAAAACCTCAGATACCGATCAACTAAGAAGAGGTAGAAAGCAGGGAGCATTGTGCATGCATACAAGAAACCAACGTGAAAGATGTAGAAGACGATGAAGAGAATGTAGAGGTAGTGACTGTAGAAGAACACCTCAAACACTTTACGCCTAATTCCATTGATGCTTCCAATCCACATCAACAAACCACAAGCCAAAGCTACCTCTCCACCTACATATGATATCCCTGTTCTTTTCCATTCCACCATCTGCTTTCATACAAAATCATAACCCCAACATCAAAAACACGATCATATATATACGGCATTCAACTACTGTCATTTTTTACACCATCAATTAATCATGTGATGATTTTTAAGATGATTATATAATAAGCTTTAATTAAATAAGAGTGTTTACATTGTGGTTTGATTTATAGGAAGAAAGTGTGATCATCAGCACACCCCTTGAGTGCTGATGAGTGAGGGTGACTACTCGTTTCGATGGATTTGTTCATTATTCTCAGTATATTCCCTTCCCTCTTTATCTTCGTTCACGTTTCCCTAGTCAATTTATTGTCAACGTTTATTGGCATGATGCACTACTTTTTATAAGTATCTGAATACATTAAATTTTCTCGTGATACGTAACAATTTCTTATTACTACAGCAACATCTAACAGTTTTTCACTTATTCAATGGCCGAAAATATTGAATTTACTTTCATACTTTAAAGTTTTTTTTTTTATTAATGTTTTTATTTAATATTATTTACTTCTTAAAATGTTAAGAAGATTAGCAAGAGAATAATATAACAAGAAGATATTTTACTTGAGAAGAAGAGATGGTAGTAAGGATATGAAGATGAACCTTTGAAAGATGATGAGTAACTGCCCAATAGATGATGAAAAAAATGCCATGAGCAGTGAAAAGGGTCATGGCAATGTGTCCTAACCACATATGGTATCTGATGCAACTCTCTGGTGTGAGTCCAAGCAGGGGTAGGACTGAGGAACTACGAGCAACTGGGAAAAACATGAATGCCAAACATATGTTCCCAACCAAGCCCAACCTCACAGCTGCACTAGATAGTCTCTTCTCCCACCTGCCAAAAATGAAACTCTAAGCCTTCTTCATGAACATAGAACAAGAAATCCTAAGATTATTTAGTACCACTATACTAATCAATCTGTATCCTATATATACAATAATGAAGATCATATCACTTAGGATCACTTAATCATTTCCTAATAGCAAGACAGTTTCTGAAGTATTTGTTTTCTAATATATTTCTTATTAATTGAAATTCCTTAAAAATTACTGAGTAAAATTAAATGAAGAATAGGGCACACATATTTGAATTTTTTAATAAATTTTATTTAATAATAAGTGTATTAGATGTGAGAAAAATTACATGTTTTTTTAACCACGAACCGATAGTTGTTGAAATTTAAGTGTTTGATAAGAATATTCTTACACTTTTACACCATGTTCCGCTGCTGATTTGTGGGTGATTTTGGCAAAGCCATTGTGCAGATAGATTGAAAAGGACCAAACTAGGAGAACAATGAACATAAACAAGAAGGCAAGTTCTATGCCAGAAACTATGCCAAGAGGGCCTCTTACAAGCACCAAACGCTTCCATATGGACACTTCGTGTTTCTTTCCATAACAACTGCGGCTGATGGAACAAATTCATGAAGCCAATTATCAGAACTAAAACACATGGCGGAACAAATATGATAAGAAGATCGAAATGGGGGTGTCCAGAATAAGAAAATATTGGACCTTTCCATGCTGAGACCCTTTCTTTTTCTGGCTATGTGGACGTAGACACATCCCAAAGCAGCTATGAACAAGATTGGAAAAGTGTAAACCAGAAGCATTGCACCTGCAAAAGAAGATCATTAATTGGATTTTGGATATTATAAAAAATCAAAAGAATGTAAACATGAAGTGAATTTTTCTCATATAGCTGAACCAGAAAGAGACCTTGTGTCCCAAAACCAGGCTTAGTCTTTGCTTGAAGCCGATGCTGCCATATTTGCTGGTAAGTGTTTGTGGGCGTCATTATCCATAAGAAAATCCAACCCACAAACACAACCAGCACCAACAACCATATTGCAGATTGAACCTTTCTGCATTTTTCTTGAGAAAGTGATAACTTTTTCTCCACTTCTACATCCATCTTTGGTTTCTCTCTCCGTTGTCTTCTGCCTTATAGTCTACAGTCTAAAGAGAGAACGGTGATGAGTTTGGAGAGAATAACAAAAAAAACTTAAATTTGTTGATATCTATATATATATATATATATATATATATATATATATATATATATATATATATATATATATATATATATATATATATATGAGTGGAACTTACGTATGGTGGTGAAAACCATGACATTAATATGACAAAAAACATGACACAACGGTAAAGTTACATAACTAATTGATCATGATAGAAAAATAATCTCCTTACATACATAAAAATAAGACTGCATATAATATATTTTTTTCATACCTTCAGATATTGTGGTTGTGTAGAAAAGAGTATTATATTAGAGAATGTCACAGAATCATGTGGGTGATAGAAAGTTGACAAGGTTAGAAGGTCAACCTCTTCAGTGTGGTGAATGATGGCAACTGAAATATAAAGCACAGAGGGACTCAAAGGATGAGATTTGAAATAATGGGCATTGTAGTGGGTGCAAAGTTCCCCATATATTTGGCTTATATGAGGGAAAGGTAGCTAGGAGGTGTTTTGTTCATGTCATTGGGAATCAAAATGAATGGAGAGTATTGAGGATTCGTTGTTGCTGAGTCAAAGTAGGGAGTAATCAAAGATAATTTGGGATCACTTCTCCTGAAAATTTTGCGGTTAATATCAAGGAGAACACACTTCACAGGCTCGTGCCTGAAAGAAGTTCATGTTGGTGTGCGCGTGTTTGAATTGTGCTGGCGTGTGTTCAATTTTGGTGTGTAAGGAAACGTGCACGTTGGAAAGAAAGAACAGAAGCAAATACTGATGAATCATTTTCTGAAAGTGCCTCAAATCAAATTTTAAAATAACTGTTATCTCATAATTAAATAAAAGACGAGTGTTTTACATTTTCTTTGGAAAATCTCTCGTTTCATTTTGAAAAGAAAATGAAAAAGAAAAATAGGAATTAAAATATTATAGTCTTAGAAAGTGAGATAAGAAGGTAATTAAATGGAAGTGCAGAAATTGACATGTCTGCATTAAGTATTTCGGTGGCGGTGGCTGCAATGTGTTGCTCAATCTGCAAGCCTTATGCATTCAACTTCAACACACGTAACAAAGAACTTACAAGGTATGGAGGATGTGGACAAGTGCTTATTGCATCTGGAAAATTGAAAAATCCAAAACAAAAAAAGGGTGATAGGATTGAGTTGAAAATTTTGAAAAGTAATAATAATATATAATATTTGATTATATTGCGTTTATATTTTATCTATTCAACTTAAATATTTTTTAAAATTAATTATGAAATTTACTTTTTACATTTAAAAATAAAATAAATGAATAAATAATAATAATTTATAAAATACTTTTATTTTTCCTATTTAGAATATCTTTATTTTCACTTTTTTACAAAGAAAAATGATATTTTTCTTTTTTTATACCTCCTTGTATTCCATGCAAGAAACATTAGTGAAGTCAATAAAATGATGGCGTACAATTCCTTAAATATTTTAAGTCCAAAATATGCTTCTTGATATTATTAACATCAAATAGTTTAATTTTGCCAGAGAATAATATTTCAAAACTTCAAAACAAATACTTGCTCTTAACTAATATATAAGTAAATTAATTAATTTTATATTTATTAAAAGTAGTAGTTAAATTTATTTAATGTTTTCTATTTCATATAATATAGAAATATATATTTTTTCCTTGTATTTAATCTTATTAAAATGTGGAAATTAATTGTTTTCTATGTAAAACTCTATTCCCTTCCGCCCACCACCAAGGCAATGTTCATCCTACTTAGAACTTATTATATTTTAATCCGCTCCATTTTTCTCCAAATTCTCATATTTCAAAGCTTCACATGAATAACCAAAAGTGCACCCCATAATTTTTTTCCATAATTAAATTAAATATATTTTATTCTTACTCTTATCTTTGTCTTAGTTTTTGAAATATAGATAAGATTAATTTTTCAGTTTTTGAAATATAGATAAGATTAATTTTTCAGAAATACGTTAGTAACATTCAATCCAAAATAATTTTTTATTGATTTTTCAAAATATTCAATTTAAAATATATTTTTGAATTAATTTTTTTAATACTCAATCCAAAATATATTTTTAAAAACTTATTTTAGAATAGGTATTCTACGTTCTCTTTTCAGAAATATATTTCAGATTAAATGTTTATTAATATATTTTTAATTGAATGTTTCAGAATTCGATTGAACAATTTACATCTGTTTGTATAATTTGAGAGGAAGAACGTGTAATTCATACGTAATATTAATAATTAGTTACTTTTTATTAGAAAAGACTTTTAATAAAGATGATAATATAAAAAAAATTATGAGATGAAGGTGATGAGAAATGATGGTGTGGAAGTTATAACAAAAATTAAAAAAAAAGTTAAAATAAAAATAAAATTAGGAGAAAGATATTTTAGGTATTTTATTTGGGCATAGAGATGCTGAGAAAAATTAAGAGCCTACAAGCTTTACTTTAATTTTTGTGGTTCTATTCACAGAATATGCGCACAAAACATAAACTTATTGAGTTAAAGATCCTCTTGGTCACAAACCTTCTAGATAAAATAATTTCAAGTATTTTTCACTGAGATTCGGATGTTTTATTTTTAATGATTGAGAAAGATAAGACTTCAAATGTGAAGAGATTAACGATTTATAAGGCTACCTCAAGTTTTTGAAATTTGTATCCTTAAAGACTACTTAATGAGAAAAAGTATGTATTTTTCAGAAATACTTAAGCGTGAGAGACAATGTCTCAGAAGACAATACGAAGCTTAAAAAAGAAAGACTATGACAATCAGAAGCTTACTGAGATCCTTTCCAAGACTCAATCCAGAAGTTCACAAAAAAAAATCAAGAGCTGCACAAAATTCCCAAAGAAGTCCTCACTCATCCTAGCTCCTAGGCTACCATACTTAATCCATTATCAAGCTTAGGAAAATATTCATAACATATTTTTCTTGAAAAAAACTGATTGAGAATTATTCATAAGATTTTGAACATGCTTAAAAGTAAAAGATTAGTGAGTATGATTCATGCATTTCCATGTATTTATCCTTAAAAACTTTCAAGATGAAGGGCAGGGTATTTGTGTCTTCAGGAGATTTATTGTGGCTCTTAAAAAAGTATTAAAAGGTCAATACTCCTCCAGAAAAGATCTCAGGGGTCAGGACTCCATTCAAAACTCCTCTGAAGTCACAATCACCTCGGATGGAAAATGCTATAAAAAGGCAAAGGAGCACAATATTAAATAGAGAGAACTTATTGAAAAGAACAAGTGTTGAAGAAAACGAGTAAGAACTTATGATATGGTCATGGAGGAAGAAAAATTCGTCCAATGGATATGTCAGAATTTCTCTGGAAAAGTTGGTAAATGCTAATGAATATTACCCAGATGATGGTTCTTATATTATAAAAGTCTCAACTACCCATGAAGAGGAGAAACATAAAAAATTCAAAATTATTCAAGCCAAGGGCTTGTGAATCCTTAGAGATAAATAGATAACCAACTAACAAAACGAGAAAGAAGAGCAATTTTCTAATCAAATTCTCAAAATCGGAGGAAATGAGCAAAAACAAACTTCCCTTGTTCTTCCGCTTCAACATGCTCATGGAATCAGAAATTTGCTTCATGATTAATGTAAACATACTAGAAGTACAAACTGAAACGGATACTTTGGGGTACCAATATATTCATATAGCCACTCAATATGAAAGCTACATAAGTATTTGCATAAGTTCAAACAATTAAAATGATGAAAGTTACAACATTATAGAATAGAGCAAAAGGAACAATGATAAGAAAACAAAGTCTGGTGGCAAAAGGAATGCCTTCATATTATGATATAAGCAAGTAAGCCAACATAGATGTAATACAACAATCCCTAAAAAGTCGGTATTAGTCAGACTTTCAATAATGCCATCCTCTTCTAGCTTGATCCGCAGCATGTTCATTCATGTAAACATGTTCCTCTTTTCTCATGAAAGTCACCTAAGATGGCTAGATTTTCTGATATATTTTACACACAACTTATTCACTTGCTGGACTAAATATAGCCAATCATTTTCCTCTTATCCTTTTATATAACCATATATCACCAATCTTAATTCTTAACAACACTATCATCCGATGAATTCACAGGCAACCTTGACCACGACACAGATTCCCTTGATACAAGCAACTTCCTACGAATCACTATGGACAAGCTCAACACAATGCAAACAGCAGCCAGCAGAGTAAACAGCATACTTGTATTATTCCCCGTCGACCAGCTCTTCATAACAAAATCAGCACAAACATCTCCATCAAGACTGTTGAAAGAATTGTTCAACTTCATGACCTCAACTGCATTCAATATACCATCAATGGCATGCGGTATGCTTCTCTGCGAGGGACCTACATCAACACTCAAAGCCCCTATACTGTCAACATCTCCTCCATCAACCACAAAGTCGGCGTAAAACGGTGAAGCCAGCGATTTCGTAATATAGGAGAGATCCAAATCTTCATAAGCCAAATATCCATTCACGTACACATTGAAATAAAGCAAACCAAGCGAAATGCTAGCAATATCACAGAAATGCAACCGAACTAAGTACTTGTACCCTCCAACAACAGGAAACACCCAAGTCATATTAACACTGGGAACAGAATCATTCTTACTCTTGATCAACCTAGCACTGTTATACACATTATCAGGACCAACCTCACGACTAGCCCCACCAACATGGTACTTGATCCTACCACCAAAGTAAAGCTTCTCAGATCCAACACTTGTCTTCAAAAACCTATCATCAGGAATCCAAGTTCTCCACAGGGAATCATTGAAAGGGGTAACTTTAACACCCCCAACAGTGACCCTATACACAACCTCAAGAACCTGTTTGTTGAAACCCTCAAATTTCTCTACATTTGAAGGACTCAAATACTGTGCTGTATCAGGGACAAGGTCTTTGGGCGCAGAAATCACCTCAATGGCGTTGACAAACGCCAATTTCGAATCTCTATTGGGCACAAACACGAGCACGAGGCTATCCGCATCGATCCATATTAGGTACTCCACGATCCTAGGGTTTCTAGAACCACTGACCAAACGGGTGAAGTTGCTCAGAACGACATGACCGTTGAGCAACACGTGAAATTGGGCGCGACCCAGATCGAGAGTGGAGGAGTTGAAGGGGTGGAAGTGGAGGCGGACGATGTGGGTTCCTTTGTCGGTAACGGGGAAGGAGTACCTGGCGGGGCTTGTGAATACCCTAGCGGTGTGGTAGATTGAGGGTGAGTCGGGGAGGGGGTTGTCGTTTCGTAGCGAAACGGCGCGGGGGGAGGGCGAGAAGGGGGAGCGGTTGCCGGCGAGATCGCCGGCGAATGGGCGGTAGTCGACGAGGGTGGTGGGGGCGGCGGAACCGCAGTTGACGAGGTAGTTGTCGGGGGGAGAGAAGAGGTGGGAGAGGGTAGAGAAAGGAAAGAGAAAGAGGAAGAGGAGAGAGAAGAGGGTGGAAGGCATGGTTGTGATATGGTTGATGGAACGAGATGGTAAAATTTGAGAGGGGAAGAAGGAGAAGACTGAGTGGGATTGGGAGAGAAGAGTCCGTTGGACGGACCCACACGCTCTCACAACCTGGTAACTCACTGTCTTGACTCATTCTTTCATTATACATTTAATTTATATTTTTTAATATTAATGACTCACCGACTCTGCATTTCATCACTTAAACTCCTAGTGAGTTGGTGGATAAACATCCTGGGAATTATCCATGTGTTATGAACCATGAACTAATTAGTCAACATCATCATCACGAAAGCATTTTAATTTCTCATTGGTGAAATCGATATAAATTGAAACTGTTAGTTTAAGAAATGTTAAAGCTATTTTACAAACTAATGACCCTTTCCATTTTGGTCTATTGATCATAATCCACTTACTAACAATACTTTTTATGTATATTTTTACATCATCGTAAGAACCTCACCCAAAGAAACACCAATTTACATTTGTGATATTAGTCTTTGCCAATGCCACACTCTACACTTTCCACAAAATCATTTGAAAACCACAAATAAGAAAAAAGAAAAATAAAGAACATGATTAAGAATATTATTAGCTGAATCCTCGTGCCTCTTAACTATTAATCAGCATATTCATCTTTCCTGCATTCTCCCACCTCAATCACCATAGTTCCTTCCTCCTTTGTCGGTTGAAACCTGCAACAATTTCTCCTTGGAGACTGCTCAAACAATAACACAAACCAAAATTTAAGTAAGCAAATTCTCAATATCAAATGAAAATAATACAATGAAGACAGCTTTATTATAATATAAAAAAAATAATTTTAATCATTATATACACATATTATAATTGAAAATTCTTGGATTACGGTTCCCTGCTACATACAATACAGTACTCTTTAAAACACACATTTTCTTATTTCTTGAAATTCGATAAAAACAAAAAAAATAGAAGAGAAAAGTGGTTAAATGAAATGCATGATTCATTAAACACTACCATTTTCTATAAACTTCCGCTAATTAAAGATGTATTTGGAAGAGTGTCAGAGCAGTATTCCTATAATTTCTCTTCCATATATTGCCCAATTGAAATAATAATGATATGGGCCAAAGATTGGGCCTTAGAAAAAAGAAACAAACCTACCTTGTCCCACAAATGCGAATCAAGTTTCTTGTGAACCCTTATCATTCGGATTTGAGTCGGATCCGGCATTTTCCACTTGCAATCCGGGTTGGGCTGGACCAGGATATACTCACTCACAGTCTCATCAGCAACCCCATCATAAATGGCATTATCCAAGTAGAAAACAAAAGGTTTCTGGCAAACATTCCGGCTAAAAGGGCGCGTGTTGAACGGAAAACCGGTATAATCCGCCCGCCGGATCCAATTCAGAAATGTCCTTGCGGGCATCTCCATGTCCCGGGCCAAGAAAATGCCCCGGAATATTTGAACCGCATAGCCCCATGAAACGGATATGGTCCAGAACCGGGCTTTATCGTAGCATATGGATTGCTGCATGAGCCCATACGAGTCCAGTCTCATGGGCCCAATGAGCTTCTGTAGGGCCTCCACTCGGTTTGCGTTTGGGAATATGGGCTCAACCACGTCCAAGTGATGCATGGAAACTAAAGGTGTGGTGGGATGTGCTGCTAAGAGCCCAAACACATTGCCATATACATCAAACTGAAAAAAAAAAAAAAAAACATATTTAGTGTTTCATAATTTCAGGAATTAAAATAACATATTGAGATATCAAAATAAGATTTTACTTTTTGATTTTATTCTTAAGTTATAGTATAAAATATAAAGTCTTTAATAAAGAGAGTTGAGTGTGAGAGAAACATTTTACTTAAACAAGTATGAAACAAGGTCGCATCTAAGATGAATGCATGCATGCATGCCATCTGCATCAAACAACAATAGTTGACCAACAAGAGTCGATCAAAGAGGTTTTGTTTTATGTGATTATGTGGCATCATACAATGTGGTTGCATGAGTTATGTTTCGACACCTCTGCACAGCAAGAGTAATAAATTAGCCACGTGCACCACACGTGGAGGCAACGCATGCATTGGATGTTCTTAAAAGCCCGTGTTTAATAAATACAACAAATTTAATTTTCAAAAATAAATGCGAAAAGAAAAAGGTGGAGAAAGCAACAACTTTTCATAATTGCTTTTCTGGATTGTGGAGACGAAAGTGACACTCTCAGTCGTGGTTTTGGTTTTGTTTGATGGAGAAATTCAAGTGGAATTGTGTAACTGGACCATTTCCAAGGTATCTTAAAATGAAGAAAATGATTTTTTCTGAAAAAACACAGAATTTTTCGCCTCAAACATGAAACACAAATTTTGTATTTAGTGTATGCCACCTACGAATATTGTCTGTCTTTTTCTTTTTTATGGCATTATGGCCGCGAAGAAAAAATTATTATTATTATTATTATTATTAATAATTATACAAATATCCATGTTCTAAGTTTGTATATTTCATAGACATTATCTTTGATAAATTTAATAATAATTCGTAGAGATAGCTTGGAGCCAAGATTGCAGAGTAGTTAGTTAGTTAGTTACCTATGTGATATTTGGCTTTATGTTATTATTATCTTTAAATATGGATATTATATATTATTGAATTATGAGTCCAGGTATTATATTGTCCATTAAATTAATGATGATGACGGAGCATATATGAATTATCATCACCATCCTTCTCGTCTGGGGTACTCAACTCCAACTCAATCACAAACTATTGACCAAATTCAAGCATCAAAAGACCTACTTAATTAAGACTCGATGCAGGTTTTATATTATAACTATAAAGAGCATGATCGGATTTGAAAATATATAAAAATAAAAAAGTTTTGTAAGATAAACTGAGCAATTTCTCAAGAAGGCAACAGAAGAAGCAGTGAGTGGCACATTCACAAATCACAAAGCATGCAAGAGAAGGAAATTTGAGGGAGTACTAACCTGGTGAAAGCCATTTTCCCTGGTGAGAGGGACACCAAGCTCTGCCATACAAGCCTGGATCCTATCATCTGACCCAAATAATGCAGGGTACCTCTGAAGGCACTGGTCCTGCATTCTCTCCAATGCCACAGCCAAAGGGTAACTTATGGCAAACCCTCCACCCCCATAAGCCATGTTATAAGAAAAGTGAATGTTCTGCAAGTGGCTCTCGGAATTGGTCCCTATGTAATAGAACTGGTTGTGATCATACTTCTGCAACACCTTCACCAAATTCTCGGTCACAAAGAAAGTGTCATCATCCCCCATCACAAACCACCTCACATTCTCCATCCCAAGCCTCACTGTCTCAGACACAATCCGAGATATCCGAATTCCCAACCTCTCGCCACGTGGATTCTTGACCTTGAACATTGAGACATCACTTGAAATTCTCAATGTTGGTAAGAGGGTCTCATCACCTGGTTCACTTCTCACTTCTTCGTCAAGCCACACATTTCCTCTTGTTTCGTTTGGCCTCCACCATAGCTTCATGTACTCTTTTCTTTGGCTCCATAGCTTGGATGAGGCCCCTATGCCAAACACTATGTGGGAAATGTTGGTTTTCTCAAAGGGTTTTTGGGTCTCTTGAGGTGGGGCAGGAGTGGTGGGGGTGATGGAAAAGTGTGTGGTAGTGGGATGAGGGTAAGGCTTTTTTGGAGGACAATCGTAGGAATGAGTGATGAATCCAAGGGAGTAGAAGAGGTAGCAGATGGAGACCAAGAGGAAGAAGGAGGTCGTTAGTTTTGCTATGGTCCATGAAGAGTGGAAGTAGTGTTCGTGATCCTTGAGGTTGTTGTTCATGGTGGACATGAATCAATGGTTTCAAGGATTTTAGTTAAATTTCACACCAAAAGAATCAAACAACAAAATGTGCAAAGAACAAGAACCCCCACAAATAAGTAGCGGCAGAGAGCGTAAAAAAGATTTAGCAGAACACAACAAAAGGAAACTCAATATTTAGATCTATCTCTATGCATAGTTCCAATGGAGTTTATAATCTTATCAAGTATTTGTAAATGTTAACATGATTTTTATATGTATTATATATAATGCATGGTATTGATAATTGTTATTTGTAGCTAAGTTATCCATTTCTAAAACCTATTGCCTTTGAATCTATACAAATTAAATATATTTTTTTATAAAAATAATTTATGTTGTAAAAAGAGTAAAAAAAAAAATAAGGGAAAAAGTGCCTTGATTTTGGTGTTCTTATCATATTGATTTTGAAGGAAAATAAATTAGTGGTATTATAGTTTTACAAATTTGGTCCACCTATAAAGGAGGTTACTTTTTCTAATTAGGAATTTGACAAAAAAATATACACATGTTAGTGGGAAGGTAACCACTTACTAACTGAAGTCCTGAACAATATTAAGGTTTGTTACCGGTGTTTGTGAGAAAGAAGGAGTTATATTTTTCCTTCTCATCTTTTGATTTTAATTTTTTAGTCTTATTGTCTTTAATTTGAATTCAATAATATAAAACTAGACAAATTTACATTGTTGACGTAATATACCTATGCAATACATATAACTCAATTATAACATTAAAACAAAATTTAAGTACATTATACATCATATATTTTAAAATAAATAATACCATTTAACTATAATATCATATATTTTTTTGTCCGGCGTATAACATCTTTTTATCTAAAATTACATATTAAATTGATAAATTATATTATTATTATTATTATTATTATTAAACTCTTCTTATCTCGTAACCCTTTTCTTATTTGATTGATACAACCCCCTTTTTTTCCTGTATATATAATATCAACTTCAAGATTTATTTTTCTCCGCTCTGTCTGGCCTGCCAAATCTGATGGGCTACTGACGGGTTCTGTGTGGCCTGCCAAAATCCGATGGGCTTCTGACGGGTAAGGTGGGCTCTTCTCACAGCCCTACATTTAGAAAAGCAATAACATTAGTTTTTATTAAGTAAAATTTTGAGATTTTAAAGTTTTTAAAATAACTCAAAATACTCTAATTTTGTGGTGGAAAACAACATCCTCCGATCTCATATTCAGCATAATAATATTTAGGGTCAATTTATATGAAATATGATTTATTATTCAATATTATTTTGTTTTTAAAAAATATCATGATTTTATTTTTAAAAGATGATATGGGTTAAAAGAGAATTATGTTACTCATTAATATAAATCTAGTAGATAAAAGTCTAAAAAAATGAAATAAGTGAGTTATAAAATATGTAGTTAAATCTTAGGTTGATTTTCTATATGAAAGAAACAGAAATGAAAATGTTAAATACTTTTTTTTTTCCGATAATATTTTCCACACGTGAGTGATCAATCCCGAAATACACGAGGAAGCGCGAAAAACAGGACAATGTCGGGATAAAACAATCTTATGATCGACCAACCATAAGCAGATAACAAGCTTTTCTTTTCTTAATTCGCTTTTGTTCTTTGGAGAATAACCAGGCTATTACGTAGCGACGTGCATGCATGGCGTAGCATACGTGAGACACAGAGAGAGACAGAGACAGAGAGAGGAAGGAGAGATGGCGAGGGAGAGAGGAGAGGCGGGGAACGAGTCCGGCGAGTCATCTCGTCGGGAGGAGGAGCTTAACCCGGTGGAGGAGGTGCAGCGAATAATCGAATCGATGGTTCAGTTCGGGGAGTACCGAAAGACGCAGCGGAGGGAGTGCCAGAACCTCGTGCGCCGTTTCAAGCTCATGTTGCCGCTCTTGGAAGAGCTTCGCGACCTCCCACAACCCTTTCCTCAAAGCGGCGTCGCTTGGTTAACCAAATTCAAGGAAGCACTTTTGTTCGCTAAGGATTTGTTGCAATTGTGCAGCCAAGGAAGCAAGATTCACCTCGTAATTAATTAATTAATTCTCTCGAGTGTTTTCCACCTATAATTTTAACCTTGATTTGTTATGGGCACTAGTTTCTTCTGTTTGAACAAAAACTTGCCGGCTCTTTCTATTTTCATCTAAAATTACAGAAACTCTTCTAAGATATATATATATATATATATATATATATATATATATATATATATATATATATATTTTTTTTTTTTTTAAGGTTTTTTCAAATGTTATGGTGTGGGTGCGCTTTCTGATCCATAAGGTTATTATTTGACATGAAATAAGGTTTTATAAAACGTTGCATGACAGTTATTCCAGTTGTAACATCAAGATTTTTGATGCAGCTAATGCAAGTACAATTGTGAGTATCTACAATGCACAAAACTGCAATATGAATCTTTAAAACCTTGGTATGGAATGAAACTAAAGTTGATGTAATGTTGAGTTATTGAATGATGAAATTTAATAATGTTTGAAGTAAGAATTATTATTTGACCTTTTGGCAAGAAATTGTGAATGTTTGTTGTCCATGCATTGTTTTACAATGCTAAAGGGGTTGTTGGGTGTTGAAGATGCAAAACTATAATGATGCTGAACATTTATTAAATTTGGCGTTTTGTTTTCGATTATTTATTTTGGTTCAGTCTATGGAGAACGAGATTGTAATGGGCACGTTTCAGAAAGTGTATGAAAAATTAAGCCAAGCGTTTGATGGTGTGCCTTGTGAGGAAATGGGTATTTCGGATGAAGTCAAAGAGCAGGTAGGCCCTTTTTCGTTTCTCATGTCTTCATGTTGGCGATGTTTGTTTTCTTCTTTTATGTGGAGTGAAAGTTTAATTTGCGAATGTTTATGATAAGTATTACGTGATTGCCAGTTTTGTTCCAAATGTAATCATGCCCATATCGAAACCTTCATTTTTTTTATCGACTTTGGTATCTTATAGTTTGAAATTTGTTCTTTTTTGAGGCGATATTATTATACTTTGTGCTTCAGCTTGAGCTAATGCACGTGCAACTCAGAAGAGCCAGGAGAAGAACTGATACACAGGACATAGAACTTGCAATGGATATGATGGTAGTGTTCTCTGACGAGGATGACAGAAATGCTGATAGTGCTATAATCGAGAGGCTGGCAAAAAAGTTGGAGCTCTATAGTGTTGAGGATCTTAACATGGAAACAGTGGCCATTAGGAACCTTGCAGCAGAAAGAAATGGGCAACAGATTGAGAGTACTAAGCGAATAATTGATCTTCTTAACAAATTTAAACACGTTGCAGGCATGGAAGAAACCAGTGTCCTTGATGATCCTGTCGCACCCAAGACGCTAGATAGGTGCACCTCTATGGTCATCCCTCACGAGTTTCTCTGCCCAATAACACTAGAAATCATGACAGATCCTGTTATTATAGCAAGTGGACAGGTAATAATCACATAATTTTTTGAAATCTATATTAAGAAAATGAAAAAAAAAAATTGATCAGATAAACTTTTCATTAAGTATTTTTTATAAGAGAATAAAAAAGTTGTAGAACTTAAAAGTTTTCAGCTGAATACACTTTCATTGTAAGAAAGAAGAAAGAGATTGTTTATTTAAAACAAACATAACCAAACAGGCAACAAGTTAAAAAGGCCTCGTGCATGTTTTAACAACTAGTGGTTGGTAGATTGAGTTCGATGAAGAAATCTTATGCATTTCTTCTAGCTGATACTGACAAAAAACAATTGTGATTACGAAGTCATATGAAAGGGAAAGCATAGAGAAGTGGTTCCAATCCAACCACAACACATGCCCAAAGACTAGGCAATGTTTGGAACACACGTCATTGGCACCAAACTGCGCATTGAAAAGCTTGATTGAAGAATGGTGTGAGAACAACAACTTCGAGCTTCCTAAAAATTACAATTCAGCTCAAGAAAGTTGTTCCGCAGTCAGCAAAGAGAAAATTCCAGGTTTGGTTCAGAGTCTATCCTCCATTCATTTAGAAGAACAGAGAAAGTCAGTGGAGACGATACGTATGATATCAAAAGAAAACGCTGAGAATAGGGTTCTGGTTGCTGAACATGGAGGAATACCACCACTAGTGCAACTCCTGTCGTATCCAGATTCGAAAATACAAGAGAATGCTGTGACAGCACTTCTAAACTTATCACTTGATGACGGTAACAAGATAATTATAGCCAAAGAAGGTGCCATTCCAGCAATCATAGATGTTTTGGAGAATGGTAGTTGTGTGGCTAAGGAAAACTCTGCAGCAACTTTATTTAGCTTGTCAATGCTTGATGACATTACAGAGCTTATTGGTCAATTAAATGGGTTTCCCCCTTTGGTGAAATTATTGAAGAATGGAACAATCAGAGGGAAGAAAGATGCTCTCACAGCTCTTTTTAACTTAACTCTCAACCATGCAAACAAAGGCAGGGCCATTAGGGCTGGCGTTGTGACACCCTTACTTCTCTTGCTCAAGGACACAAACTTAGACCTGATTGATGAGGCTCTCTCCATTTTATTACTCCTTGTATCAAATCAAGAAGGACGACAAGAGATTGGACAACTTACTTTCATTGAAACCCTTGTTGAGTTCATGAAAAGAGGGACTCCCAAAAACAAGGAATGTGCAGCAGCAGTTCTTCTTGAGTTGTGCTTATATACCTCATCCTTTCTACTTGCAGCACTTCAGTTTGGAGTGTATCATGACTTAATAGAAATCAAACAAAATGGGACAAGTAGAGGACAGAGGAAAGCAATGGAAATCTTAGATCTCATAAGCAAGAACGAACAAATCTGATCTTGCTTTCTCCAATGTAGATATATAACTGTATTATTTCATGTAAATTAAACTATTTCTTTCATGTATCCTGATGCACCATGTACAGTTAAAACGTGTAATTATGTAATGTTATCAATTTTGTATTAATGACTTATATTACTGTATTATTTAATATTTTTCTAAATACATTTGACAAACTTATTCTTTAAGAACTTGTTATCATAATAATAGATAATACAGCAGTAGAAGTACATGCACAATGAATTAAGTGCAGCATATCGCACCACAACACCAAGAAAATGACTAAAGTCGTTGAGATATGTGTAAGTTGATTATGGTAGACATGGTTAGAAGATGAAAAACCTTAGATTAGTTTCTCACAAACAATATGAAAATCAATTTCAGTATATTAATATATTTAGTTTTTGAGGAGATAACAGAAAATCTGATGTAATAAAATGAAATCGGAGTTGTTGACAGAAATAATTGAGTCGCTGAATTATGAATAGGAAGCGAAGACGAGGAAAAGTTATATAGTTCATGGTTAATGTTCTTACGCAGACGAAAATTTTCTACAAGACTAAATAAAATACACAACGTCTAAATGTTCTTTTAATGTTGGTATAATTAATGTTATATTTGATCTGAATTTATAACATTAATTATACTCCTTAGGAAGGACAAAATGATCAATTTGTGGATCACAAGTATGTAATCAAAATTAAACTATTTCCCACCATATCCAGCCGCAATTTGATAAAAATGTTAAACAAAATCAACAAGTTCATGAGTTTTAAAAGAACATGATATCCTTGTTAGCATGAACGCACTAAGTTATGATGTCATTGGATAATCATCGTCGTCTTCACAAGAGAAAAAGATAATCATTTGTAGCTGCACTATATTACTTCTAAAACAAGCCTGTTTCCAACATTTTTGAAAGAATTATTAATATACCTTATCACTAATATGATTATTTGCTAAAATACTTAAGTACATTTATGCTTATTGTGTGTAAAAACTCATCAAATGGTACATACAATCAGTTTCCAATGTAGATGAAGTTAAAGAAAACATGCACAGAAAAAAAAAATGTATACTTTCCACTTTTGCTTATAATGACAGCTAAATATAATACTTAAAGCTTGTGTGAGAATCTTGAACTTGGTGTAGTGTTTGGATTATTTCCACTACCGACCAAGATTCCTTGTTGTTTAATGAAGGGAATCCAACCCTTGTCACGTGTGCTCTCTTCTTAGCCACCCAATCTAAGAGGCCAGGGTTGTTCCTTCAAAAAGATAAATTAATTTTTCATAATTAGTAAAAATAATATTTAATAGTTCTAATTAATGAAAGAAGACTTGAGAATAATTGAAAATAATTTTATAACAACAAAAGTAAGAAATGTAATAAATCACACATAAAAACAAAAAATTAAAGAAAATATTTTTTTTAGATTTTAAAATCTAAAAAGCATGAATTATTTTTAAAATTATTTTAATAAAACAGTTTATCAGCAACTAAAAAACTAAAATTATTTTAAAAAACAAATATACCCTTAATAATTTTCTTTGAGAAAAGTTGTTGATTCCATCCCCTAAATAGGTAGAGTTTTTCTTAAAACTAATTACTAGCATGGTGAATGAATAATTTACATGAATCAAATTGAAAAAAGAAATATGAAAATTAAGTTTAACAATAAAAGGAAATGAATTAATATAATGCGACAAGAGGAGTAGAAAATGAGTGGATCTAGAAGAGGGAACAGAAGTGGGTCTCGTGATGGTTTCGAAGCGAAAAAGGTGTCATTTTCAGTGGTTCAATCACATCCACAAACACCCACTGAACAAGGTGTGGTTGGTCACAGGTTTAGATGAATGTGATTGTGACACGTGTCATGAGTCACTGAGTGGAACACACTTCTTTTAAAACATGTAATATTATAAGCTCCACAGGCCTAATAAACCAAACAAACAACCTACCACTTACCTATTAACTAAATTTAATAATGCATAAAACTAGTCTAGCATTGGTTATTGAAATGCTTATTTTTAATTTAATATATTAAATATAATTTTAGTGAAATTTTAAATCTTCAAAACACAAAAATTATGCTTTTAATGAAAATAAGAAAGTTATAAATAAAATTAAAAGTTATAAGAGTTTTGAAAAATTAACTCTATAATCATTCACTAGTTTCTTGCTATAATTTGAAGAGTGAGATTGAGACAAGCACAGGAGAGAATTTGTCCACCCGTGAAGTGGGTCGGCAAGGGAAAGAAGTCACTCACGAGACCAAATATGGAAATGTGATAAGTCCAATAAAGTGAAAGCTTTTAGGCCCACTTTGTCTCATTTCATCCCATTAGAGATAATGCATCAAAGAAATTTCATAATACATAATAAATGGTATTGGTTTAAAGTCATTCATTCTCCCTAGGGTTGTAGAAAATGTGTGAACATATATGTCTGTTAAAATTGAATCTGCAGTTTTTATGGAGAGTTTCAAAATTTATATTATGTATTTAACATCAATGTATGAAATGTGGATTAAGAACATGTGGGCACTTTAAGATAGGACAATGAAATTCTACTATGGAATACTCACCATGTTCCGTTAACATCTCGTGACCAATTTGATGGTGGATGAGATGAGGCATGGATTTGATAGATCATCATAAGAGTGAAGATGCAAATTCAATATGCCTAATTTTTCTCGCACCTTTATCTAAAAACACTTTATATGACCAAAATTTGAGGTTTGAATGTGTTAGATATGAGACTAAGAAAGTTTATCAGTAGATTCTATGCTGGGAATTAAACAGTTTTGTGCTTAATCGAAAATTCATGACTAGAATCTTGGTAAATTCATTACAGTTTTGAGGGTCAAGACTTGCACTAATTAATTACCATTGTTTTGATATGTTATGCCTTCTAAAGATAACTAATCAATCATTTAAATTTTACCCATAAAAATAGCCAACCCTAAGTACAAACAGGTCTGATATGTTTCTTTTCTTCAAGAAAACCAAAAGAAATTTTGTAGTTTATGCCTTTTTTATCTATTAGGAACGAGTGAACCTAGTGGCCTTAACTTGAGTTCCACTATAAATACTTGTCACAGGTTCACTCTCCACACATACCAAAACCAAATTCCAAAGTTCATTTTATTAGGATGGACCTGTTGTGGAAAACTCAAATGAGGATACACGTAAGACCCTTTTTCATCCTTTCTTCCTCTATCTAATCTAATCAATATTCTCATATTCTGTATATATACACTACTTTAGTGCATATACTTGAAGCTTGTACAAGAGAACCAACCTCTTAGCAAGATAATAAAGCCACCTACACCTTCATTTTCTAACAATCTATGTTCATGGATGTATGGTTTTTGCAGGTGATTAGAACAGTTTTTGCTCTCCTTTTGGTTGCACTACTGAGTTCAGAGAGAGTAGAGAGCAGAAAAGCCAAAGTAGTGACCACTTCCTTAGAGTACAACGCTATAAACTGCAGAGCTCACAGTGCTTCATTGACTGATTTTGGTGGTGTTGGGGATGGAAAGACATCCAACACAAAGGCATTTCAGTCTGCAATAAGTCAGCTAAGTCAGTATGCTTCTGAAGGTGGTTCTCAGCTCTACGTTCCTGCAGGAAAATGGCTCACCGGTAGCTTCAGTCTCACTAGTCACTTCACCCTCTATCTAGACAAAGATGCCGTTCTCCTTGCTTCTCAGGTATCCCATTTTCTACTCCTTTGCTGACAATTTAACCATACACACGAAATTTTAAGGCACAGTGAGTCATCATTTTGTGCTTTCTGAAAACACTTTGAAGTTTATTCAAAATCCATCATTTCTACCAAACAAATTTTCACCGGGCGACTTCTATCTGTGAGAATATGTTGTTTTATAAACATTCAAATAGTCTTACACAATTCTCACCATCACATTAGTAGTACTGTCCAGCTTTTCAATTTCAAAGTGTATTATTGCTCACAAGCCTTTGCAAGTAGAAAGAACCAAAACCTGTTCCCTGATTCTTTTTCCACTGACTCTGGTTTTAGAAATAGTGTTATTGAACCAATCACTTGGCTGTATCTTCCTGTTCTTGCAGCTTTCCTTTTGGCAGTATCTTACACTGATGCAGAACAAAACAGGCAATGAAATACATTAAGAGCTGTCACCAGAAGGAAATAAAAAAGATTATTCTTTGAATTTTTTTGTTTGGTTTTTTTTGCCAAATTTCTTTCGTTCATCAAAGAATAACTACGCTTCAGGCAATAAGAAATTATTGTATGATCAAAGCCAACCAACACATATTCATAACTCTAATCAATTTGACGTGACATGTAGTCAATTTTTATTAACTTCTTTTAGAAATTGGCTGAAAGAGTGGACATAATAATCTAGGATAATACAATATTTCCCCCCCTTGTCATTTGTCATTATTATCATAAACCCATCGATCATATTTTAATGGGGAATAAAGGGTTCACGTGAGTAACAAATACGGGAGGATGTCCAATAAATGAAATGCAAAGAATGTGTCACAAGATTCCCCACTTTCTACCAAGCATATGAGATCATTAGTCTTAAATAATTCATCTATACACAAAAGTTCAAACCCCTACACAACAGCCTCTATCCTGTCACTTTTGGTCTATTCTTACATCCAGACAACAACTTTAAGAGTGCCATAGAGTGGTCCATTACACACTTGTCTTGTGTTATTTAGGAAAAAGGTTCCAAGTGTGCTACTGCTAACTCTTTTTTGCTGAACTAATAAAATGGTGTAGGATATAACTGAATGGCCTGTGCTTGAACCCCTCCCATCATACGGCAGAGGAAGAGACGCACCAGCAGGAAGATTCACAAGCCTCATATTTGGAACAAACCTCACTGATGTTATTGTCACAGGTAAGGAGGAAAAAAAAAAGTAGTTGTATGTATGCAAAAGTTCTACTTCTAATCACCATAATTTGTTAACAGGAGAAAATGGCACCATAGATGGTCAGGGTGAGTTCTGGTGGCAGCAATTTCACAGAAAAAAGTTGAAGTACACTCGCCCGTACCTGATTGAATTAATGTTCTCAGACAACATTCAAATCTCAAATCTTACTCTCCTCAATTCCCCATCGTGGAATGTCCATCCTGTTTACAGCAGGTAATCCTATTTAGTTTGTTAAAGTTTTGCAAACAAATTGTCCTTTCATATAATTACACATTTAGTTACTGTTGTAGTTACTCTCTGAATATTTTTTACTTCCGATATTATGACACAAATTTCAATACCATGCAGTAACATTATTGTGCAAGGCATCACCATTATTGCACCTGTCACATCTCCAAACACTGATGGGATCAACCCCGGTTAGTAGTTCATTCACGATCAACTTCAAAATCTTAAAATATAAACTATTTATAGAAGCAAAGAATAAAGTTTGGTTTGAATTGATTTAAAAAGTTTGTTCAACCTCTTTTTCTATCTTTTAATTTTTCTTATCAGATTCTTGCACAAATGTAAGGATTGAAGATTGCTACATAGTTTCTGGGGATGACTGTGTGGCTGTTAAGAGTGGATGGGATGAGTATGGCATAAAATTTGGGTGGCCAACCAAACACCTAGTGATAAGAAGGTTAACATGCATTTCACCATACAGTGCAACCATTGCCTTGGGAAGTGAGATGTCAGGTGGTATCCAAGATGTGAGAGCTGAGGACATCACAGCCATCCAAACCGAATCAGGGGTCAGAATCAAAACAGCAGTAGGCAGAGGAGGGTATGTGAAGGACATATATGTGAAGAGAATGACCTTGCATACTATGAAATGGGCATTTAAGATGACTGGTGACTATAACTCACATGCTGATAGCCACTATGACCCTAATGCCTTACCTGAGATAAAAAACATCAACTATAGAGATGTTGTGGCTGATAATGTGACCATAGCTGCTAGGTTTCAAGGAATCTCTAATGATCCATTTACAGGAATCTGCATTGCCAATGTGACTCTAGGGATGGCAGCAAAGGCCAAGAAGCAGCCTTGGACCTGCACTGATATTGAAGGGGTCACAAGTGGGGTGACTCCTCCACCTTGTGGTTTGTTACCTGATCAGGGGCGAGAGAAGATATCAGCATGTGACTTCCCAGCAGATAATCTACCTATTGACATGCTGGAGCTCAAGAAATGTACTACCAGCATGACATATGTTGGAGATAAGTTGTTGTTTTAGCAATAGTATTTCTCAGATTATCAAGAAAGCACTTCTCAAGTTAAGAAATGAATGGTGTTTCAAATTATAGAAATGAAAGGGTTTTATTTCTTCTCACCTTGTTTTTGGCTTGATGACTTGATGCTGTTACAAGTTTCAGAGTTAGTATAAATCAAATTTTGTTGGTTAAGTTTTGCATCTTAACAGCAATTAGAACTTCTGCCAAGTGAATTAGTAAAGAAAGATCATCAACTATTGAGGAAAAACATAAACAACTGCCAAACAAGGTCTGAACCAAATCTATATATTTACCGATAATATTGTTATTCAAATTTAAACCAAATCTATAAATTTACTAATCCATTATTGTATGTCATGTAAGAGAGATCTCAAAAAAGTCAAATTGACACCAAACTTTCCACAGGGAATGCATCAGTTACCCGGAATACACCAGAGGGTGTGCGCGCCTTGACTCTTTCTTTCATTTAGGTCTTTGTTCCTAACCCTCACAGAACCAAAATCTAAGATTTTTCTACTTTAAATTTAAAACAAAAGTGTTTTTCCAGATAGAACACTGATATTGTTCGAATATTTATTTTCATTTAATGCCTTGAATTATTAATGTTCCTAATTACTTATATTTTCTTTTAAAAATAGTGATTCAATCTTTATAATAAAAGAGCACTAACATATATAATATTTTCTTTTAGTTCTGAGTTTCTTTTTCAGTTTCACTATCTTTCCTCATGCCTCCTCACTTGCATTTTCAATCAAGTTGTCATCATCGAATTTCTAGTTCAATTTTATTGAATTTTTCATTAAATATTAATTTAATATAAAATCTAAATCAAATTAAATAAACATCCACATATCGATTTTAATAATTTTTATTATTATAAAATTATTAAATATTTAATAATTAAAAATATTTATCAAATAAAAAGACCTATTATAAAAAATAATGATTTTAAAATCATTATTTTTTTATTATTTAAAAATAAAAATACTATTATTAATCATTGTAGAGAATAAACTATATTTTTTTAAAACAAAAAAAAATAGTAATTTAAACATTAAATTGACCTAGTTAAAATTAAGAACACTTGCTCACGACAGAATGCTACCAATTATAATTACACTAGGGTATGTACTAAAAAGAGTGTTTTTATTGTAAAAATCACAAGTATTCTCTGTCAAAAGCAAGCATCTAGAATCAGATAAAATTAGCAAGGATGATAAAATTCTTCCAAAATATCTAACACCACTTTCCAAAGTATGATGGTAAACCAACACGTGATCCATTAAGACACTTAGCTTGATCTGAACATTTGACACAAGACCGCGCGCATCATTACAAGAAACAACCTTGCTCGACATTACATTTGCTCTAAAAAAAACATTAGACGTAACTAACAAAGAAATTAGAAGGGAATTAAAAAAAAAAAAAAAGTAACCTAAAAGTTAATTAAAAACATTAAAATAATAATAATAAGAAAACAAGGTTGAAGAGAGGCTGGAGCAAATAAATGTAAACTGAATGTAAAAGAAGCCAAGATGATGTTCACAAAATCAATAGCATGCACGTTACTTGGGTTTTTTGGCACATGTTCAGAAGAAACCACTGCGAGAACTTGACTTGCCCGGTTCTCTATTTTCGATCCATACAAGATCATCTTGACAAAGCTTGGTCTCTGCTCTCTTCAACAGAGATTAGAGCATTGATATGAATTGGGTGAGGAGGTTCACATCTTTGATTTCTTTACCACCTTACAATCTGAGAGGCTTTTATCGAGGGAGATGAAATAGATCATCAACCTCATAAAGCATGGACTCCGATCCCATCAACAGAGCTTAAAAAGCTCTCTCCTTCAGCTCACAGTTGATATAGAAATTGAGAGTGTTCCAAAATTTTACTTCAGTCTTCAGATCTCAAAAAACAACTCAATTTCACAGATGTCAACAATTTGTAATGCAAGCCGACAAATTCTTGCCCTAAGGGGACAGGAGATCAGAATCAGCTGTGACACCTTGGTATGAAGGTATTGCAACTGATCTGTGCATTCCACAATATCAAATGATAAAAATATGCAGTATGCTATGTAACATGCAATACTCAACAATTTGCGCCATTAAATGATATTCAATAAAAATTGTTAACATAGGCTTTGTAAGAGAGACATACAATTATATTACACTATTCAATACTAATAATTAAGTCCTGAACAGCCAAAAGAAATTCAAAAGAAAGTGGACACAAATAAGTAGAGACCAAGCGGAGCGAGTTAGAGAAAGTGCACAAACCAATCTAAGAACGTAGAAAAACCTCACCATCTGTTAAACCCGTGTTATGGAACAGAGAGCCGAAGCTCATAACTGAATCTGAGACTTCTTCTGTTATTCATATGTAATTCTTGTTCTTTTTCTATCTGACATTTAAAGATTTTCAATGTGCACTAACATGCAACAGATTGTATTCCATCATGCAATCACAGAGTCAATTCCCCTAATACAATCAGGTCCATCATCTTTCAGGACAAATATTCATCCCAATCAACATTAACAGACACCAGAAGTTTCATTGCACTATCACATCCCTCCAAATAAAAAACCAATAAGTAAAAACAGGCTCTGCATTTTAAGTTTCTTTTTAAATTCCCTTCTACAATGGAAAAGGCAAAGATCTCATGAACAAATAAATAGAAAGAATTACCAGGCTGTAAATTACAAATTTTTGTGAGCAAAAGCATCTTCTTTGTATATATTTTATCGTTTGAAGTTACACATGAAATCACAAATATACATTTCAGAACAATAACACGGTCATATAACCTATAAATCATTCTAAAATCGATACAATAAGCCAAACATGATTGAGCACCATCAATCATAAAACCGAAAACCAAATACCTATATTCATCAGTATGTACCAGAGTTAGGTTGCGACAAATTCAATTGACTATCTGTCCATCTCCGTTACACCTGCTGTTGCGATGAATATCAGTAGCAACCGACCTCAGATTAGAAAGCAAGGCATCACGACCAGTCAAGACCACTTGAAAAAAGTTATCAACTTCCTTTGTAAGAAGATCTAGTCCCTGTGAAAGCTTCTCTGTTGATCTGCCTAATTCCGCAACAATCTTCGTAAATGACTGCATCTCAACGGGATCTACAACAACCTGGATAATAGGATACAATTCCTTTACAGATGAATCAACAGATTCCAACTCATTCAGTACAGTAAATCTTTCACTTGAAAATCTAACCCTAATTTCCTCATTTACAAGATCTTGCAACCTTTTAAACGTTGGGGCCCAAGAATATATCTCAGACACATCCAAAGCTGACATATTCTTTGTGGTGCCTGAAAAAGCCACAGCAAACACACTGCATACAAATACTGACAGCACCTTTACTCCATACATAGCTTGCATCAAAACCTTCCCTTTCGTAGATTTTTTAACCTTGGGAAGATCAAGCGATCCCAAAAGATCATTCAAAATGCTTCCACATTTCTCAATCCTAGGGTTTCCCGAACCAATATGCTGTTTCCAACCATCAAGTGAAGAACATGCCCGAACATACTGCTCTGAAGTGGAAGAACCTAAATTGTGCAACACACACTGAAGGAAAAGATGACCCTGGCTCAGACGTGATAATTCAGAGCTAAATGCATTGCATATATCTAGCAACTTCACGCTAATGTCCAAGTACAAATCTATCCATTTCTCATCCCAATCATGGACAGGCAGCTCAAGCTCTGTCATGAGTGTTTTAATGTCATTATGACTCTCACAAAGTGCCTGCATGGCCAAAGTCATCCAAGACAAGCTAAGGATCTCATCTTTGCTATTTGGAATGAGCTTTTTCAGCCTCTCTTCCAAAGTTGCTTCAAAAGCATGTAATACTGACAGAAGTTGTGAGGATGGTTTCGTGCCTTTAGGAGATATCATCCTAAAAGGATTTCCAAAAGGGAAGAATGATCGGTTTGCACCCTGTGCACGACTCATTTAGAATTTTTACTGAAAACAAGAGTGTAAGTAAGATACAACATTAGTTAAAAAAGAATACCGTACAAAATATATGATCACTAATCAGTCACACAAGAAGCAGTACAGTATGTGTTATTTATCCAAAAAGTTTAGAATTTCTGTGCCTGAACAGTTTGTTATTCTAAATTAGTATTAAAAAGGGGAAAGGAATATGACACATACAAAAAAATTTATATGGTATGGCATCCATTAGCCACTCCAAACACCGTTTCCTTTCCTCCCCTTCCCCTTTCCCGTCTAATTAGGCCATTATTATGACAAGTATTTAGTTTGCTTCTAAATTCCAGCTAGCTGTAACAAGGTATGAGATAGGTTTGACGAACTGATACTAAATAATTTATTGCTAGTCAGGTAAGACATAGTACAAGTTCCAAAAATTAAAGATATACAAATTTCACGTATGTTCCTTTTTCTACCATCTTGAAAGAAAAACATAAGGGAAAGAGAATTAATACCCAACAAGCTAATGTATCCCTACAAAATCAAATTAGAGAAAAGAAAAAATAGAGAAATTAACAAAATCTGTGACCAATCAAAAGTCTTTCATAATCCTACAATTTTGCTTACAAATAAAAATCGCCCGCCCCCCTTTTCCCTAATCAAGAGGGGTAAAAATTTCACACATGATCTACCCATCACTCCCTCAGCACACCTGACGGATAAAGCCATACAAATAAATCTCAAAGGGAAAATTTTGTTATTTTCCATCAAAACTAAAAAATTAAAAAAATAAATAAACAAATGAATAAATTGTCTGAACCTCACCAAATACGATAGATCGAGGAGTTAGAAAATCAATCAAAGCAAAAAGCTTGATCAATTTTAAGTCGACTAAAAGACACAAAAATGGGTGGGGAAATTCCATTTCGAGATATTTACCTATAAAATAAAGATTGAAACTTTGATTGAGAAAAAGGTTGAGAGAGGATCAGAGGGTGAAAGAAAGCACCTGGAAAGGATCAGATCGGAGCAGATGATTAGGGTTGGGTTGTTGAATTGGGTTTGTTCCTTTGATAGGGTTTGCGTTTGCGGGTGAATGCGTGTTTGTGTGTGGTAGATGGTGGTGGGAGGTGATGATAAAGCTACCTAGTTTGTGTTCTGTGACCTAAGGACGCGTGGTATCTATATTGTGGCGTGTTTTACTTATTAAAAAAAAAAAAAAAAATATATATATATATATATATATATATATATATATATATATATATATATTAACGGAATTAATGTTAGGGAATTGGAATTTGATTCCTGGTTGAAATTTTTTAGTGAAACTTAGATTTTTCAAGGGTTTTTTATTTTATTTTTATTTTGGTTGAAATTGAACATAAAACATAACAAGAGTGAGTTTAGCTTTTCCCGAAATATATAAAAACTAACACTTAAGTTCCTAAAAAAAATTAGGATAGTGAATAAATAATTTGTTGTTGTCTCCAAAAAGATTAAACGATGTTACATTGAGTTATTATTGTTCAAAAGACGTGAATATTATTTTATAATTATTTTATTTTTTAATAGAAACTACTAGAAATGTGATTTGACTTGAGTGGTTGAATTATATTGGATTCATTAAGTATTATGAAAAAGTTAAAAAAAATGGAATTAATTACAATTAAAATAAGCTTTAGAAATATAATTATAGTTAAACTTACAGGCAAAAAAATATTTTATGGTAATTAAATAAAAATGTCCAAAATTATTAAAAAACCAGACATTTATGCAAAACCTTCACTCAATAGTGGCACAAGATGCTACTCCCAAATTATTCACTGCAGTTTTCAGATCTCAACAAGAAAGAATGCAAGCCAGTAAATTATAGCCATGCTGAAACTCAGTTGCAAGAAAGCTCTGTGAATGGCAAATGCAGAAATTTGATGAACAAATAAATAGCAAGAATTACAGGGCTGCAAATTACAAACTTCTGTGATACCAAATAACGTTTTATATATATTTCATATTTAACATTACACGGAACATAACAAATATACATTTCGAAACAGTAGTACAGACATATAACCAAATATCTAGATCTATCTGTATGTACCAGAGTTATGTTGCAACAAGTTCAACTGAGTATCTGTGCATCTCTGTTACCACCTATGTTGTTGTGAATGACAGTAGCACCTGACCTCAGACTAGATAGCAAGGCATCACGACCAGTCAAGACCACTTGGAAAAAGCCATCGACTTCCTTAGTAAGAAGATCCAGTCCCTGTGAAAGCTTCTCTGTTGATCTGCCTAATTCTGCAACAATCTTCGCTAGTGATTCCATCTGGACAGAATCTACAACAACCTGGATAACAGGATATAATTCCTTTACAGAGGAATCTACAGATTCCAACTCATTCAGTACAGTAAATCTTCCACTTGAAAATCTAACTCTAATTTCCTCATTTACAAGATCTTGCAACCCTTTAAAGGTTGGAGCCCAAGAATATATCTCAGACACATCCAACTTTGTCTTTGTGGAGCCTGAAAAAGCCGCAGCAAACACACTGCATACAAATACTGTCAGCACCTTTACTCCATACATAGCTTGCATCAAAACCTTCCCTTTCGCAGACTTTTTAACCTTAGGAAGATCAAGTGACCCCAGAAGATCATCCAAAATGCTTCCACATTTCTCAATCCTAGGGTTCCCCGAACCAATATGCTGCTTCCAACCATCAAGTGATGAACATGCTCGATCATACTGCTTTGTAGAGGAAGAGCCTAAATTGTGCAACGCACATTGAAGTAAAAGATGACCATGACTCAGACGTGATAATTCAGAGCTAAATGCAATGCATAGATCTAGCAACTTCACACTAATGTCCAAGTACACATCTATCCATTTCTCATCCCAATCATGGACAGGCAGCTCAAGCTCGGTTATGAGGGTTTTAATGTCATTATGACTCTCACAAAGTGCCCGCATGGCCAATGTCATCCAAGACAAGCTAAGGATCTCATCCTTGCTCTTCGGAGTAAGCTTTTTCAGCCTCTCTTCCAAATTTGCTTCAAAAGCATGTAATACTGACAAAAGCTGGGAAGAAATTTTTGTTCCTTTAGGTGACATCATCCTAAAAGGATTTCCAAAAGGGAAGAATGATCGGTTAGCATCCTGTGCACGACTCATTTAGAATTTTCACTGAAAAAAAAAAATTGATGGTAAGATACAAACATGGCTGAAAAAAAACATACAAAGTCTATTATCACAGATCAGTCATACAAGTAGCAGTACACTTCGCGTCAAAAAGGAGAAAGGAATATGGCAGATACAAAGTTTTAATATGATATGGCCTGATTAATTTCAAACCACTAGCCTCTATTAACCACCCCAAACACGGTTTTCCAACCCTTCCCCTTCCCCTTCTGATTAGGCCATTATTATGATAGGTATTTATTTTGCTTTTAAATTCCATCTGTAACAAGGTATGAGATAAGTTTGACGAACAGATCCTAAATAAATAAACAAAATTTCGAGGGCAAAAATTTTCGCCTATGTTCTTTTTTCTACCATGTTGAAAGAAACACATAAGCTAATGTATCCCTATAAAAGCAAATTATAGAAAACAAAATCAGAGAAATTAACTGAATCTAAGACCAAGCAAAATTATTCTCTCTCCTACACTCCCAGCTTCCTACAATTTTGCTAACAAATATAAATTCCTCTGTCCCCCTTTTCCCAAATCAAGAAAGGTAAAGATTTCACACGATATCTATCCATCTCTTCCCCTGACGTAAATAGCTATACAAATAAATCTCAAAGGGAAAAAATCTTATTTTCCATCAAACCTAAAAATTAAAATTAAAACAAACAAAAAATTAAATCGACTGAACCTCACCAAATACGATAGATCAAGGAGCTAGAAAATCAATCAAAGCGAAAAACTTGACCAAACCTCAGATTTTCAACTCAAACACACAAATGGGTGAGGGATTCCATCTCAAGAGATTTACACAAAAACTAAAAGACGGAAACTTCGACCAATAAATAGGTTAAGACAGAGGAACAGGGGGTGAAAGAAAGCACCACCTGTAAAGGATCAGATGGAAGCAGATTATTAGGGTTGGAATGTTGAATTGGGCGTTTGTTCCTTTGCTAGGGTTTGCGTGTGTGAATGCGTGTTTGTTGTATGTGGAAGACGGTGGTGGGAGGTGATGATAAAGCTACCAAGTTCGGTCTCAGATTCTGTGAACGCTGGACACGTGGTATCATGCTGTTGGTTCCTTGCCCACCTTTTTTCTGTTTTTTTTTTTTTAATTAAATGATTTTAACGTTTATTTATTGGACACGTTAAAAATTGTCAGCAGGAGCGTTCAAATTTGGCGAGCTTATCTTCAACTTCTCAACGACCATAATTGCACGGTTCATGTTTATAATCAAACGGCTCCTGTACACTTGCAATTCCACTTGATGTTTGGGAGAAAAGTATTTCTTTTATTCTTAATCAATCAAAACTTATCATATGATAATTTGTGATTAACTTCATATAACTTTTTTGTATTTCAATATATCTTTTTATTATTTATGAAAAAAAAAATTTAATATTTCAAATAACGAAAAAATTATTTATTTTTTAAATATAAAAGATAATGGGGCCCACTCCAAATAAGTTAATGTAGTATACATCGTCATCACTTGTAACTTTTAAGTTGTATTATAGCACCCATCTTTAACATTCTATTGGAATTAGGTTAAGTTTTGCATTTTAATCGTAAAAAACATGACTTAAAGAAAAAATGTTAAAGATTATCAGTTAGGTATTTGGATAGAGATTAATGAATGACTAATTATGTAACAAATATCATACCCGCTTATTTTTCAATATATGAACTTTAACTTTTCCATAAAAATAAAGATTCCTTATATTGAATATAACGATTTTACGTTTAGAATCCCTTGTTGGAAAATGTTGTCCCTTTCTATATTTCCTGGAAACAACATTCTTGCATGTTATCTTTGTTCACAAACATACACCAATCCTTACCATACAAACCTGTTTTCCAGACATTATTCCTTTTCCTCTTAGTAAGGTTGTCTCTTATCGCGCACCTCTAAGCAAAGCTGAGTAGAAAAAAGTTCCTTAATTTGGAACATTTAAGCCCAGCACTCATTCTAAAACGTGGTATGGCTTCAAAGATAAGCATTGATAGTTGGCACTGAACTGAATTAGGGTTAGGCTTCAGGCACCAATCTTTTTCTCTTCAAAAAAATTATCAAAAGAAATGCATGCATCCCTTTCTACGTACCAATATACATTACAAGATCAACACGTTATGTTAATTATCTTCTCGTTTTTCATGTTTTTTCTTTAGAAAAAAAAAATAACAATGATGATGAATGAACGAACAATTGGGTTTGATTGCAAGAAACTTTATAAAATTATGTTCGAATGAAGATAACACTTTGGCTTTCCCTCCACAGTGCCAAATTAATATGATGTCAGTAATTTTTTGCTTCAATTTTTATCAAATTCTTTATCCAAGCTTACAAAAATCATATTTTTAAAGCATAATTAATAACACGTGTGTAATATTTCGTTAGCAAGCCTGATTCATACTTATTACAAAATCAAAGTTTTTTTTTTCAGTTATAATATAATCATTAATCACATTTTAATTGTCTTGAAAAACAAAGTATTTAAAAAGCTTATTTAGCTTGTTACCTTATTTTGGAATATTACTATGTAAAGTTTGATTTTATAAGTTCTTTGCTTATTCATTTTTTTATGGTTATCTTATAAAAATTCTTCTTTTATCTTCTTTATAATTTCGAAAACCCTTAATACTCTTCTTACCAAATATTACTTTCTATGTATAAAATTATTTCAAGTTATGACCACTTAAATAATGTTTTTTTTATATTATTTTACATTTTAAACAATTAGATTTATCACATTGTCTTAATTGAACTAACTACCTTATTAACTTTAAACTTTGTGATAGATTTTGAACTCTTTAGCTGATTCATTTACTGATTTTGTCACATCCATCCCATATCCTTTAAATATTCCTCTTAATACCCAATAAAATAGTATTAAATGAAAAGGGGGATTTATTTAATATTTTAAAACACAAAATGCATTTCATTTTCCTTCACGTAATAAATTAAAGGATTTGTAAGAAGATGCTGTAAAAAAAACTAAAACTATTATATCCATTATTATCACGTGATTTAGTTAAGATGCATTTTAAAAAACCATTTTCATTTCTTCTGGATATTCTTCAGCATCTTCAGAAAAATACTCCCCGAGTTCTAATAGCAAGACATTGGCAAAATGATAGCAGCACATTGGCCTACCAGACAAGACAATACATTAACGATCCATTAAAGCATCACATGACATGAGACCTCTTTCAACCTAAAATGGATGAATTTGTCAGCAAATTGTAACACTTCAAACAAGAGTAAGCACCTTTTTGTTAAGAAATAGTAACCACGTTTCAACAAGTGTCTATGCACCAAATAATGGTGGAATTAGCATAACATTACCAGACATAAGATTTCAAACATGAAACCATGATGGTGTTTGCTAGTTGTTTGCAGGCTCTAAAACGTTGTTTGGTCCACAGTTACCTATTTCAGCTTCTCCATTGGGTGTAAAGTGCCAACACCATTAACACATTACATAAAAGGTTATCAAAGTTCTTTTTCTAAACAAAAGTCAATACAAGAGAGCTTATGCTTATCAATACTGTAAGGCATCACGTGGTAAGTCTAGGGTAGGGTAGTATAAGCACATTGTCTCACATAACGACCATTCAAGTCTAACATGATAGACATGGATTAAACCCTCTATTATTGACCAGAAGTTATTAAAAATGGTAAAATTCTGTTAGTATTTCTTTTTATTTAACGAATTGTACCTTATAGGTTTCAACAGATTTTAGTCAATAATAGTGTTTGAAGAAATATATTAAACAGTTTTAGAGCACGTACAAGAATCTTATACTACACCTACACGGTCCTCTTTGCATTTGGTCCACTAGTTTCCACTGTCTAAGAATCTCTTATGCCTTACCTGACCCTTTTGACAGCTTTGGTGATTCTTACACCTAATCCAATACGAGGCCTCTAAAGTATAGAAATGCACATGATCAAGCTAGGTCGCCAAAAGTTGTGATGGCCTACACAATTTGTTTGAAATTTGAAGTTTGGTGCAAATGTTGGTCCAAAAGGAGGGGTAAAGGTAAAAAACGACATCAGTGAAGTAACAGAGTTATAACAGAGGGAAAAGGAAGTGTACTTGGTGAAGTGGTTCCTTTACAAGAGTTGGTGTAATATAAGAAACTAATAAAAGATTGAAGAATGCAAATATACAATGATGGACAAAAAGAGTGTGTATTAGTCTCTAATATGTGCAGGCTTGGAGTTTCCGTAGACAAAATCCCTGAAGACTTCTTCCTTGTGCTACTATTTTATTGGTTGTTTGTACAATGGAGTAATATATAAGCCAAAATGACAAAAAGTAGCAGACAAAAGTTGATATTTCATAATGCTTAGCCGGCAAAGAGAACAGGTCCATTTTCCACAAGCATCCAACTATGGGGAGTTGGCAATGATGGTGCAATCTAATTGCATCTTTCTAGATAGCTGGATGGTGGGTCTGTTGCTCAACAAGCATATTAAACTGGGGCCACCAATTACACTCAATATGATAAGCAATCCAACCATCTTATGTTGGGACCAAGTTGATGGTTACTTAAAACCAAAATGTATGAGCCCAAGGAGACTCACTCAATTTTATTTAAAGAACCTTCAATGCTTATCTAACATTGTCCGGAGAACAGATAGGACATAAATATTTTTACTTTATAAGAACGAATCAGAGTATACACTTGAATATGAATCCCAAATTAGGGTTGATAACAACACTGGAAATTGCTTTCATTTTTGAAATTGAGCTAGACATAAGAATTGGCAAACTAAAAGAGACCAAAAAATAAGCACGTAGTTCTATTTAATTATCAGCTTGTTATCATCTCCATCTAGTGCCCTCATGATGATTTCTACGACTACTGGCATCTTCATTTTGATCAGTGACACCATCTGTTATCTTGTCTAAATTTGAGTCCTTATGCTCATTCTGATAGGTACGGGAAGTCTCTCCATCAGTTTTGTGTTCCTGTAGATAGGAAAGAAAAAGAAATTTATAAGTATCACATCATAGTAATGTTGAATGGCATTGATTTCTTTTAGTCCACTGACGACGTATACGGTAAAAAGAACATACATTATGGAATAACAAGTCGTCTGCCTCAAGCATGTGGATCACATGTCCCATTTTTGGCCTCTTTGTTGCGTCGGGATCGACACACCGAAGAGCAATCAACAAAGCACGTTTAAGAGCCTTTGAAGATGGCATCTCAGGGAGTTTAGGATCAACCACTTCCTCAGATTTTCTATTACCAACCATAGTCTTCAGCCATTCTATTAAATTAACCTGTAATTGTTCCGACATGCATAGTTAGCCTAAAAAGAGAAAAGACTACATAAATGTTAACTGATGTTTTATTGGTGATGGCATCTAACCTCTCCTTGTGGTCTACCATAATCAACAGGACTTCTTCCAGTGATTATCTCCATGATAAGGATCCCAAAGCTATAAATATCACTCTTCTCAGTCAGCATTCCAGTGCAGGCATATTCTGGTGCAACATAACTACAGAAACAGAAAAGGGAGAGAATCACTATCTTTTGACTTCAATAATCATACAGGAATTGAAACTAACTATAATTTGGTAAAAGATAGGAAAATGTTTGGTTTAACCATACTAACCCAAATGTCCCCATAACTCGAGTTGTGACGTAGCTGTTCTCGGAACACAAAAGCTTAGCAAGCCCAAAATCAGAAACCTTGGAGTTCCATTGCCGATCAATGAGTATGTTGCTTGATTTCACATCTCGGTGGACAACTTTTGGTTCGAGACCCTCATGAAGATAGGCCAATCTGAAAAGAAAGACAACGCACATGATCAAAACAATCATGCATCATTATGGATTCCAATGTATTAAGTATAATAACAAATATGTTACCCTCTTGCAGTTCCCAATATAATGTTCATGCGTATGTTCCATGTCAAAGGGCTTACAGGTCCAACATCCCCATGCAGCCATTGTTCTAGATTGCCATTGTCAACATATTCATACACAAGCATCCTGTGAAAACAATACCACACTTCAAACATCACATCTCACCATACCAAACAGAGTTTATCTCATCAATTTTATTTTTCTTGAGTTTGTAAGAGAATATACTGACACCTGTAGGCTCCCTCAACACAGTATCCAAGCAACCGAACAAGATTTTTGTGTCGTACTCGACCAATAGCTTCTACCTCTACTTTAAATTCTTTCTCAGCTTGGCCCCTGAAAAAAGGTTAAACATGAATTACTTGTTTTTAAAAGAAAGACAAGACCAGGAACATGGAATCACAAGATAGCAACATGAAATAATCAAATAAGAGAGAGAGGAAGAGAGAGACTAAAAAGTCTATTAATAAGTACATTAGAGTACAAAACTCCGATAAATGAAATATTAATCAATTTGGTAGTATAGGAACAAGGAGATCAAAACAAAAATGATTCTTTTCTTCACACGAGTGACTCACTTAAAGGATAACCTCTAGCATACCAGCCAAGGATAACACAAAAATAATTGTCAGAAAGTAGAACACTGGTTAAAGTAAAAGAAGCAAACACTGGCCTACAATAAAAAGATGATATCATTGGCGAGGATAAATATGGTTGGTTGCCACCAGGACAATCATTGAAGAGAATAACGAACAACATGTCTAAATCATTTCAATTATAATAGAGACAATTGAGTATTTACAAGTAGTATTTTCAAGCAAAATTGTTATTATTGCAGCCAAATAGGACGCGACAAAAAAACAAATCATTTGCATTTGTCCTTCCCCAAATTCACAATATCAACGGGCAACACAGGGTTGAAAAATCATAAACGAATATTTCATCATGTCAGCCAAATTAAGAAAAGCCAGCTCACACAATGGGTAGAAATCACACAATATCCATCCGTAGGATACAGACTCCCCAGAAAAAATGGCAACAATAAACACAAATAAGTTTGACAGTTCATTTTTTTTGAGAAATCTGAAGACCACTCCAAAATCCAATCAAAGCATCAAACTTGCAACAAAGACTAACCAAGACCAAATGGAAGTAAAGATATCATCTTACAATAAATAATAAAAATCACTTCATCCAATAACAAATTATCATGTATAACAAGTTGATTAAATTGTATAACTATAATCATATGGACAAATAATTTCTGACTAATCTTAAGGAATCTGTTTTACAGTGACTGTGGATGCCTGTTAAACTCAACTTATTATATGATAAATTTATTGACTTTTACAGCAATTACTCACTTGGACCTTGATCATCAATCAGTTGGTCATGAGTTCAATCAGGAAACAACTTGTTGCATACCCAATATAAGGTTACCTAAAATTACCCTCTGGTTTCCCATATCTTCAAGATTGAGAGAGCCTTCTAACACTAGGTCATGTTAGTTCTTATTTTGTTTGTTACAGTAACAACCTTGTAAGCCATATTTATCAAAATTTATAATTAAGAGTGCTAATCATAGTTATGAAAATTTCCAATCAAACGTAGAAATTATACTAAAGAAAAAGACATACTTGTTATTCAAGAGATTCTTGACAGCAATTTTGGTACCATCATTGAGTACCCCATGATAGACAATGCCATAGCCACCTTCACCAACCACGTTTTCGGGAGACAACCCTCCAGTGGCATCCTCAAGCTCCCTTAGAGTGTACCACCTCCCCCACCCAAGATGAGACACCTCTGGCCCAAGCCCCAGCCCACCAACACTCCCACTTCCAAAAGACGACGTTGTTTCGCACCCACTCCCCACCGTTCCCTTACTCTCCTCACTCGAAACCCTATCGCACTGCACAACCACCCGGTGCTCCGCTTTCCCCATCTCCACCTGGATCTCCGGCGCTTTCGCCGGCGGCCGGAGCATGTGGGGTCCGGGAAGGTGCACTATCGTATGTATTTCCTTCGTGGCTTCGGCGGATCCGGCGACCTTATAGCCGGCGACGGAGCGGCGGCGGTTCCGTCGAGATACGAGGCAGAGGGAGAGCAGGAAGAGGGTGAAGACAATGAAGACGCCGATGAGGATTCCGATCACAACCCAGAGACGGAGACCGAAGATAGAAGTGTGCTTGGAGAGTTGCGTGTTCATGAAAGCTCCGTCGAAAATTGACATTGCTGCAGAGTAAGAAGGAAATGAGTCGCCGGAAAAGTAAGAAAAGTTTGAACTCTCCGGCACACGGCGAGATTCTAGGAAGTGGGACGCATTTGCTTGGCCGGGAATTTGAGAAAGGAGAGGATTTTCCGGCGCCGGTTACGCGGTGGGAGTGAAGAGAAGAGAGAAAAGCTAATAGCTTTGAATGCAGGGGAAGAAGAGAGAAAGAAAAGAGAATGTGGGGTTGTAAGAAAGTGAGATCAATAGAAAATTTAGCACCATGAAAGGAAGTATGTAAGAGAGAGACAGAGAAAAGGCTGAGTGACGAAGCCAGCGAAGAGTGTTGAGGAAAGGTTTCATCTTGGTTGTGTATCCTTTTGGTTTTGTTTTCTTTCCATACAATAATATTAAACAGATAAGAGGAACGTTATATTCTTTTCCAATTTCTTTATAATATTTTAAAATATTGTGTAAAAAATACTATTTGCCCTTTACAACATATCAATTATTTTTCATCTTTCTTTTATAACAAAGTCATATTCATGTAAATAATAATTAGAAGGAGATTATTTGTTTTTTAAGATTTTTGACTTACTTTTAGTAAGAGAAGATGTATATTTAATATTTCTCCTAAAAAAATATGTATTTAATATTTTAATAATTTAATAATAATCAATAAAAAACATTTTCTAAACATTTAACATACAATCGTGTTATTAAATACTCTAAATACATTTATTGTTGAAGTGCTATGTAGTTTGACCTGTCTTGTTTAATTCAGGTCTAAGCAAAAATATCATAGGATGATAACTATAAATAATAATAATAATAATAATAATAATAATAATAATAATAATAATAATAATAATAGTAACTAATGTTTATAGTTTTTTATATAATAAATAATTTTGTTATGTTTTTTTCTCTTTTATCAGCAAACATTTTTAACAACACTTCCTTGACATTGTCCATAAATCATTGGGGAAGAAGGCTCCTACAAAATGACAAAGCCAAAAAAAAAAAGTACGAGAAAATGAAAGAAACAGTAACAGAATGTTAACGTTCGAAATCGTTGAAATCGAGTTCCGGCACTGTTTCGCATGACTCAGTTTAAGGTATTGACTTCATACTTGAAAAAAAAACTACTCTTTTTAAAGCACTTGAAAAAAGAAAAATAAAACTTACTTTCGTAGCTTTTTTTTTATTCAGTGATTTTTGCCTGGATTTTATTAAATTCATTACATTCCACTGGAGTTCGTTAATTTGAGTAAAAATATATTTAAATCTTAATTATAAACAAATTCAAGTTTGACTTTCCTTGAAAAGAATAAAATGGCATTAGAAGAAAAAAAGTCACTCAATTTTTTTCAGACATGTCGATAAAATTAGTTGATGTTTGACATCAATATTGTGATTATTAGATTGTATTTTGATTTAATCAGACGTATATAAAATTCATTCAATAATAATAAAAAAAATACTATATTAACTCTCTTAGTTAAAAAAAAAACAGATTGCAAAATGAGAATTTTGAAACATTCATATCAATTTACGTCAAATAAGTACTGAAAATTGATTTTTTATTCAATAATGATTTTAATTAATAATATTGAAATGTAATTATTTTTTATATTTGGAAATTTTTATTATATAACTATTTGAAAATAATAATTTGGTAATAAGGTTCCTTTGTTATTTATGGTCATATCAGTACACAAAAAGGTACATTTTTTTTATTTAACACCTATTAAAAATAGAATTAAAAAAATCATAATAATTGCACATAAAAAAAACGAATACGAATACCATCGCAGCTTTTCAAAATAACATATTTATCGGCCATGAAATCTAAATGGAAAATTCAAACCTACAAATAAAACAATAAAAAAAAACCATCTTTTCTTCAATAAAATATTAAAAAGATTGAAACTTTCTTATGAAAAGAGTAAAATAATTTTATATTGTTATTCCACCATAAATTAAATTATTATTTGTATAATTTTAAAAATGATTACCATAAAATAATAAATTTACCACACATATAATATAGTGATATAATAATATAAAACAATTTTATATAGAGAATATAAAACAAATATGTAATTGTATTGTTTTGTATGCAACCATGCATCATTAATCATCGTACAACAAACTTGTGTTTGAGATTTATATCATTAATGGGTAATATCTAAATGAACATATAATGAAAGAAAAAAATGAAATTTTTAAAAAAATTGTTGGGATTTGGTGAATGAGTCATGTAACGACCCTAGAAATCGCTACGATAATGATGTCTTCGCAAAGTAGTAAACAAGTAAATAACAACATTTATTTTACATTATATTACTGTAATTGTAACATATATTGAAATTCCAGATTCACTAACTGAACTTCAAAATATATTAACATCATTTATTTATACATTATACATGTAACGAGTAGCTCCTCGAAGCTATCCCATCGAACTATCCCTGTCGTCCGAGTAGTCCCATCACCATCTCTCAACTCCTCGATCTGCTCCCACATAAAAGTGATCATCGCGAGTCCCATCCACATGGAAAAATAGGGTAAGTATTAATTCATTCGATATAATTAAACGAGATATAGAAGTAATAATTACATATTATAATCAATTACAAAATCATCAACACACTAAAACACCTTCCGGAAGTATACCCTAACTATGCCCGAACTCGAGGCTATCATCTGTGGGCACATTGTGATCGGTACCGCAGATACCATTCGACCACCCTCCACACGAGTAGGATTACTGGCGCCCTTCATCACTCATACTGGAGTACCCCTCCGAGCGCGCCACCAGTCATCCCCCATCGACTTCTCACCACCTGATCTCGTAGTCTACCTGACCCGACCAATCAGTGAAGTCTGGGACCTCATTCAGAATCCTCTGACATAGTTATTACACTAATGTACTCTGTACCACCCCGGGTACCATTCAAACATAACAAAAATTATTCACATTTGCCGGATTCTAGACCACATGTCCTCACGGCTCATTCAAGTCAATAAAAATAGTATTTGACTGATTCTGGCACCAACCCTCCGGCTCAGTCTAGCCAATATATAATGTCTCAGGACTGATTCTGGGCATCAGCCCTCAGGCTCAGTCTGACCCACACACGTCACAACACACTACTTTCATTCTCTCTCTATCTTTATATATATATATTTCTAAAATAATTTCCGAAATCATTTCTGAAACTATTTTTGAAATTATTTTCAAAATCATTAAATTACTATTTGCCCTTAATCTTTTCTTAACATTTCAGTATGTCCCTAAATGACTATTTTACCCTTGGAAAATTTTGAAAATTCCATTTATGTCTCTGTGATGTAAAATGACTAGTTTACCCTTGATCTTTTTAAAAATCCCCACCATATCCCTTTCTTTTTCCATCGCTCGCTCAAGCGAGTACACTGGTCGCTTGAGCGAGATGGAACCCGAGAGTCCCCTTTGTTTGAAGCATCCATCGCTCAAGCGAGTACACTAGTCGCTTAAGCGAGACATGACCCGGGAGTCCCCTTTGTTTGAAGCATTCATCGCTCAAGCGAGTACACTAGTCGCTTAAGCGAGACATGACCCGGGAGTCCCCTTTGTTTGAAACATCCGTCGCTCAAGCGAGTACACTAGTCGCTTGAGCGAGATGGATCCCGAGAGTCCCAAATTTTCCAGGTGTCTTCGCTCAAGCGATGTATTTTTCGCTTGAGCGAATTTTGCAGGTTTTCCAGTTCGCCATTTTCAAAATCCAAGTTTCAAATTTCTCAGTTTCAATCACCCAAATTAGTTCCAAATCAAAATTAAACCATAAACATGTTCAATTTAAGTTAAAAACAACACTTTTATTATATAATTCATCCTTAATTTTAAGAATTTCTAAAACTTTTAAACGGTGAACAGTTCATCAAAATCAGAAATTCTGCAACAGACATTCTTCAAAATCAGACATTCCGATCATTCATATCTCTACTCCTATTCCTTATTTACAGAGTACCAACAATTCAATTTCATATATTGAATGAATTAAACTTCCCCTTACTTGGTATGGTATTTCTACCGAAGCTTTCCCCACTTAATTCAAGTTCTCTCCTGTTTCACCAGATCCTACACGAGTAGAGTCTCGTTGCTTGAAATTTAGACAATAGAAGAAGAAGGATGAGAGGAAAATTTTTTATTTCCCTCCTCCCCCGCTTCAGTATTCATATATATAAGAAAATTTTTACTGTGCATGAGGAAAACTTCGTTACGAAGTTTTCTTGCACAGTAATATTAATATAGTATTAAAATAATCATACGTCACAATCTCCCCTCCACAAAAATTTTCGTCCTCGAAAATAAACTTACTTGGAAATAGATATGGATAAGACTCTCGAATCTGATCCTCCATCTCCCAAGTGAAGTCTCCGGATTTCTGATCCCATACTACCTTCACCATTGAGATAGTTCTACCTCTAAGTTGCTTCAACTGAGAATCTTCTATCCTCACTGGTCTCATATCAACGGAGAGATTATCTCTAATCTGCACATTGTCTGACTCCAGGACATGACTGGGGTCATGTACATATTTCCTCAACTGAGATACATGAAATACATTGTGCAGATTCGCCAAATGAGGTGGCAACGCTAACTGATATGCCACTGGACCTACCTTCTTCAAAATCTGATATGGGCCAATAAACTTGGGAGTCAACTTCTTAGATTTAATTGCCCTTCCTACTCCAGTAGTAGGTCTGATTCTCAAAAATACATGGTCTCCCCCCTCAAATTCCAAAGGTCTCCTCCTCTGGTCCGCATATGATTTTTGTTTACTCATAGCGGCTCTCAGCTTCTCTTGTACCTCCCGGACCTTCTCTGTAGTCTGCTGGAGTAGCTCAGGTCCAATCAACACTTTCTCCTCATCCTGATACCAACATAAAGGTGTTTGACACCTCCTCCCATAAAGAGCCTCATATGGTGCCATTCCGATACCGGCATGATAGTCTGTTATTATACGTGAACTCTATTAATGGAAGGATCTCATCCCAACTTCCTAGATTATCCAACACACAAGACCTCAACAAGTCTTCTAGTGATCTGGATGGTCCTCTCTCGATCTGTCCATCTGTCCGGGGTGATAGGCTGAACTCAACCTAAGTCGGGTACCTAATGCCTCTTGTAAAGTCTGCCAGAATCTTGAAGTAAATCTAGGATCCCTATCCGAGATAATGCTAGATGGTACCCCATGTAATCGAACAATCTCGCGAATATATAGTTGTGCCAGTTTAGCCATAGATATCCTTAGATTTACAGGGAGGAAATGTGCACTCTTCGTCAATCTGTCCACTATCACCCAGATCGAATC